CAAGCCCCTCGAAAGAGCCTACCAAGCCCGGCGGTAGTGTGATAACCCGTCTAGAACTGTTGGAGCCTGGAGTGAACACTTATGCAAGCCTAGAGACTGTGGAGCTTTGAAAGCCTCACAATAGCAGTGTAAAGTCCGTAAAAGAGCCTTATAAAGCTCTTTTGCACGTTATGCCTTCCACGCTCCAGATAGACCTTATGACACACCTCAAGAGAGCTTCATAAAGCCCTTCTGAACTCTTCCAGAGCCCGTACAGAGCCGGTTGCAGTAACCCGTATAGAACCGATTTCGGAACCGGTATACTATAAGGGCCTTGACAATTACCTACACCATTTTGGGCGCTCCATATTATGATTATAATGGGCCCCGAAACCCTATTCTAATCTTTAAGGCCCCAACAGTAACCCTTCATTTTTGAAAACCCTCACGGCGCCCTCACAGAACTTTAGAAGAACAGGTCATTGGAGACGTCTGGTCGAGAGCTGCGCCAGCGGCTCACCGCCGCGGCTGCCAACCGCACGGCCCACCTGGAGGCCTTCGGACGCAGAGACCCAGAGACTCCAATATCCCCTGATTAAGGAATATTCCTTAAATCATAAAAGGGATCCTACTATAATTTAAGGAATATTCCTTAATTAAGGGATATTGGAGTCTCTGGGGAGATACTGCCTTCAAAAGAGGATCAGTGGACCTAGTACATAGGGTTATAAGTTATAAGTACGTAAGGTAACTGCAAGCACAATTGTGTATAACCCGCCCCCCGGCGCCCTCTGATCCTCTTAGCAAGGTTCGGGGGTGGGGCTTACGGTCGTAAGATGTTGCAGGGATTAGGATGGTATAGTTTCGGGTGATCGCATAGGTATACCTCATACCCTAAACCTCATGACCCAAACTTAACCCTAACACATAAGAGGCTATCATTAAGGTTTCAGCACCCAGAAAACCACTGCTCAACATGTTGATAACGAGGATGATAGCTGTGATGAAGAACATGATGATGGTGATGATGATATCGAGGGTGATTTCGATCATGATCACGGTGATGAAGACGATAATGATGATACATGTAGCAATGATGGTGACGAGACGATCTGGAAAAGGTCGCTGCGCAGAGACCGTTTTGTCGCCCATAAACCTCAACCCACTTGCCTCAACCTTCGAAATAATCGGCCCCACTACGTTTTCGCCGTCTCTTGTGGTGCAACATTCCAAGGGTAAAAGGAGGGACCCTTAGTAAGGACCCCTAGGTATATACCCTTAATAATATAGCTATTATATACCCATTATATAGCCCATTATAGGGTAGGGGTCCCCATTAAGGGTCCCTCCTTTTTCCCTTTGAAACATTGCAGCGCGGCTTCAGAAGTTGAGTTCAGGGTGGTTTTTCCCAACACACAGAGAGGCCAGTGCTCGACACATTGATGCCAACGATGATAGCGATGATGATGAAACTGCTGAAGGCGGTAATGACATCGATGGTGATGGCGATGATGATCACCATGAAAATAAGGATAATGGAAGCACTGATGATAGCAATGATGACGACGGGGCGGTTTGGAAAAGTTGTCTGCGCAGGGACCTTTTTTTTCCAAGACGTTTTGTGTCGCCTGTCGACCCACAAACCTCAACGAACTTTTCCCACCTTCAAAATCATTGGCCCCACCAGCGTTTTCGCTTTCTCGCGTGCTGTAACACTGGCTTTGCTGCGCGGCTTCACAGATTAACTTGAGGGTGTTGTTTTCAGAGGGCTGGGGCCTTAATTCAGGAATAGTAGTGGTGTTCACTGGGTCTGAAGGTTTGGAGGTTTGAGGGCTTTTATCGTTGTAGGGTTTAGGGTTGTAGTGCTTTCGGGTTTAGGGCTTAGGAGTTACGGCTGTGGTATCAGCACTTTACTAACAGTGCGAATTAGTAGAGCTTGAGACTGTTCAGGGGTCTACGAAGAATTTGCAGAGGGTCGGGGTTTAGTGTTCATGGGCCTCTATAAGAGTTCAGCAAACCTCAAACATCATGTGCGCTCTTTTTAGTATTGCCTTCTTGTCCAAACAACCGTGAACGCAACTGGAGTTTCACAAGGGAGTAAGACAGAAGCCTGCATGATCAGCAGTATCGTTCTGTAGGTAGAGTTCTTGATTCTAGCTGTCTTCTCATATAATTAGCGCGCACAAAGCCCCACTCTAAGTATTGAGGCCCCTGAACCCTAAACCCCAGTGTAGGTACATGGCCATGGAGGGATCATGTAAGGGATTGTTTCAATGATGAACCTCGCGCTTCTCTATCTTTTAGTGGTCTTAGGGTTTTTTTTGTAAAAACAGTCTCCAAGGTATTGCCATCGAAAGCGGTTTGTTATGTTTCTAAGGGCGCTTAAGCATTGATGTAGTCGCAGGCTGTAGGGTTTACAGTTTTAGGCTTCCGGGTATAGTAGGGTTTAGGGTGTAGACGTTGGAGGTGTGCGGGTTTGAGGCTTGGCGGTTTGGGGTTTAAGTTTAGTATTGCCCCTTATTTAATGGCTTTCAGATCAAGATCCCGAATAATCCTGATTTTGTGGGGAGTAGGTCCTGGGATATGCTAGTTCGGCGGTACTCGTAAGTTGATTATACTTTCCCTTTGTCACCCAGGTTCTACAGGAACATGACCTTGCCAGCTACAGCATGAACTGTTTCAAAATCGACGACGAAGATCCCTGAAGTGCCAGCAAAGGAGATATGAAGTAGGGTTAAAATTACCGTTTTGGTGAGTGTAGATCGGGCTCCTTTTGAATATTGGTGAGTGTATATATTGGGTTTTATTATGGGGATACTAGTAATATGAACCATACTCTATATCACTTTCCACCCCACCAGGCGAGCATCACGAGAAGTTCACCCCCCTCAACCCTGCAGCGCAGACTTTCGTCATTTAGGGGCCTTAATGATTAGCATTGGGCTTGCGGAATATCATACCGTAAGTATCATAGGGAACCCCAAACGAGTATTGGTATGCACTGGCACTTATTTAGGCACTATATTAACTCCGAAAAAAATCCCCAATTCAGGGTTTACCTGTTGGACTTCTCTTGACTGCCAGGTTGCCATATCCTGCAAAGCAACTGTAACCCCCAAAGAGGTGGCTTGTAATCCTCACCGCCAACGCTTAATGAAGTCATTTACTCCCCATGCCAGGCGTCGTGATCTGATCAATCCCCCGAACCCCCTAGACCGTAAACGCTTTACTTTTGAGCCTTCCATCCTCAGTCCTAACGGTCCTAGCGCTCAATTGGCAGGCTTCTTGCCCAGTCTATTGGGGCCATGCTTGTCCAAGGAAACGTGAAGCGTGAGCTGTTGTCGGATCATGATCATATCTCCAAGTACGGTTTAGAACTGGTATGTGGTGTGGCGAGTTCGGACATTTGGAACCCGCACCATGCCCCAAAATGGGAAATCTCGCACAACGGTGGCGTGCTTGCGGAACTGTTGCGACCTGGCGGATTTAATGATTTCAGCCACCCCGGACCATCATGTTTTCTGCTGTCATGATGCACGGTCTGAGAGCCGGCGAGCAACAAAAGCACGCCTGAGCTCATCCAACTGTCGAATGGCTCCGAGCTCTGCGGGTTCGCGAGTTTACTACAGAATTTGTTTGCTGAGCTGCTGAAAAACAAACACACATTCTTGTTGCCGGCCTGTCATCCTACACCGTAACCCTACGTGCTAAATCCCACACCCTCAACCCTGTCATTAACCTGACAGTAGCCTTTTTGACGCCAATTTGCTGTGAGTCGGCCCTCCGCTGCTTCGGCAATGCGCCCGAGAGTTCGAGTCTCGGGTGGGGTTCATTGGTGGCCCTTGGCTTCAGTGTGTATATACTCATCCATACCCGTTCATATATGCATACATGGATGTGTACTTGTGCTTGCGCATTGGATCTTTAGAATGTGCACTGACGCTCGTGCCCGCTTTCGTCACTTTCGTTTGATTAGGTTTGTAACACATAGTTTGCCCCCGAAGCCTCCTTGTTGTTCATTAGGCCTTGGGTAAAATTTCGGTTGTTGTTCGTTCGTTTTTCATACTATCATGGTCGTCTTCAATGGGGGCAAAGCTGGTTGACAGCGCCGCCAAACTGATGGAAAGTGGTGAGCATGGCGGTCGTGGTGATGGTCATATTCGTAGCGGTGACGGTGGTGGCTCGTGTTTAGATTTAAACTGGGTTTGTATAGCATTATTGAAGTTTAGGCGTAAGATTTGTGAATTCCAAGGAGGCGATACAGGTTCATGAGAACCTTTTCCAGGCCAGTGCCATCTGATCCGGGCTAAAAATACATCCCCTAATTCCTTCAACCCTAAACCCCAAACCGTAAAGTTCCAGGACCTTGCTCACTGCCTCACAACCCGGACGAGATTTAGGGAGTGGGATTTCGGGTCAACCTGTCTGCCGCGTTTGGCCGGCCGAAGCTATAGTGGGTGCCCAATCAACAGCACGAATAGTTCTGCTCAAACCTCATCAATTGCATAGTCCCAAAAAATTACGTCCGTCAAACCGCGCCAAGCTCTTAACATCTCAAGTCTCCCAACACCTAATTTTCAAGCCCCACTTCAGTAAACCCACTGCCGTTAGAATCTGAGGCCCTTAACTCTGCTAAAGCATCGCGACAAGGCCACATCAACCGCCTGAAAGACCATGTAAAAGTCTCATCGAACCCAAAAAAGATCTGTTCAAGACCATGCAGAAACTTTCATAGAATTCCTTCACGAAGACCACGGAGGTCCTGAGATTACACTAGAAAGAATTATGTTTAAGATGCTGCGAGAATCCACATAAAGCCGACCAAGGCTTGTTTTATAGTCACTGTGATAGTCTCCGTACAGCGACCCCTTTAAGACAGTGTAATACCGAAGCCTAAATCATACCCATAATATTCCTTACTTTATATATACTAGAAAGGGCCCCCTGGCCCTGTTCTAATTGTAAAGGGGCCCTTCATTAACAACCGTGCTAAGCCCAATAGAGCTCCTGCTCCTCACGCCATGGCGGAAGCAGAAACGCGGGTCGCCATTATCGGCGTCTCGGCTCTGCCGAGAGCTTCAAAAGTTTTGGGGGTTTAGGGTTTCGGGTTTAGGGCTTGGGGTTTAGGGTTTAGGGATTAATTTGGGTTTAGGGTTTAGGACATCCGGTTTCGCGTTCAGGGGTTAGGGCTTCAGTTGCCAATTTTCCCAGAGGGTCTTGGGTCCACAGTTACTGTCGGGACATTTCGTTTGGTCACCTATACCAGGCCCGCCATAATGCATGGTTCGCTGTTCGGTCCGGCATTTCAGCAACTGAGCCCTACACCGTTAACAACGTAACCAACCCTAAGCCCTACACCCTAAACCCTAAACCCTAAACCCAGAATCCTAAACCCTAAACCCTAAAGTGCTAATCTGCAGAATTCTCCAGACTTTAAAACCCGACCGAAGGAGCTTCCAGAAGCCAGACGTACCGGACGTAAGGCAGTAGCATTGGGTTAAGAGAACCCAGACCTTCCAAAATCCATTACCCACAGAGCCCAGTACCCCTTAATGAAGGAATATGGCTTACATCATATAGGGCTTCATATTATGATTTAAGCTATATTCCGTAGTTAAGGGGTATTGGGCTCTCTGCGTAATTAGGGGACATGCAGGGTTTAGGGTTTAGGATTAGGGTTCATATGGGTGGTTGTCAAAAGTATGGTCCCTTTTTGGGTCCTGAATATAATACGGCACCTAATATTAAGGGTACCCAGAAAGGGACCCTACTTTTGACAACCACCCATATTAGGTATCCTACTGTAATCCGAGGTAGATTCCTCAATTAACGGATCTTGGAAGGTCTGGGAATAATGAAGACCTCTAATTACTCAATCTTCTTCTCTTAATAGGGATTTCGACAGGGATCTGACGGTTAAGGCCCTTAAGGAGAGGTGGTTTGTTAGTCAGGGGTCTACATTAGGGTTGAGGGAGCGGGGGATAAATGATAAACCCTAAATGTAAGCCCTAAACCCTCAACCTAAACCCTAAACCCTAAACCCTAAACCCTAAACCCTAAACCCTACAAACCCTAAACCCTAAACCCTAAACCCTAAGCCCTAAACCCTACAAACCCTAAACCCTAAGCCCTAAACCCTAAAGTGCTAATCTCCAGAATTCTCCAGACTTTAAAACCCGACCGAAGGAGCTTCCAGAAGCCAGACGTACCGGACGTAAGGCAGTAGCATTGGGTTAAGAGAACCCAGACCTTCCAAAATCCCTTACCCACAGAGCCCAATACCCCTTAATGAAGGAATATGGCTTACATCATATAGGGCTTCACATTATGATTTAAGCTATATTCCGTAGTTAAGGGGTATTGGGCTCTCTGCGTAATTAGGGGACATGCAGGGTTTAGGGTTTAGGATTAGGGTTCATATGGGTGGTTGTCAAAAGTATGGTCCCTTTTTGGGTCCTGAATATAATACGGCACCTAATATTAAGGGTACCCAGAAAGGGACCCTACTTTTGACAACCACCCATATTAGGTATCCTACTGTAATCCGAGGTAGATTCCTCAATTAACGGATCTTGGAAGGTCTGGGAATAATGAAGACCTCTAATTACTCAATCTTCTTCTCTTAATAGGGATTTCAACAGGGATCTGAGGGTTAAGGCCCTTAAGGAGAGGTGGTTTGTTAGTCAGGGGTCTACATTAGGGTTGAGGGAGCGGGGGATAAATGATAAACCCTAAATGTAAGCCCTAAACCCTCAACCTAAACCCTAAACCCTAAACCCTAAACCCTAAACCCTACAAACCCTAAACCCTAAACCCTAAGCCCTAAACCCTAAACCCTACAAACCCTAAACCCTAAACCCTAAACCCTAAACCCTACAAACCCTAAGCCCTAAACCCTACAAACCCTAAACCCTAAGCCCTAAACCTAAGCCCTAAACCTAAACCCTAAACCTAAACCCAAGCAACGTATGTGTAATCCCAGGCTGGAGGTTCCTGGGCAGTGGGGTTATACGTTATAGGTAAGGTCTCTTGAAGGGTCTTGGTTTAGGGTTTAGGGTTTAGGGTTTTGGGTTTAGGGTTTTGGGTTTTGGGTTTGGGGTTTAGGGTTTAGGGTTTCGGGTTTAGGGTTTGGGGTTTAGGGTTTGGTGTTTGGGGTTTGGCTTGGGGTCTAGGGTAGGTAGAAGTGGGGTCATTAGTCCCCGAAAAAGAGTTAGCTAGCGTGACGCCTAGAGCTCCAACCGACACCCTAAACCCCAAGCCGACTCCCCTTCTTCCCTTTTCAGGGATCTTTGGGGCGTAGTGTTTAGGGCTTAGGGTAGGCTGCGTGTTTAGGGTTGCTGTAAGGGCTCCTTGAAGGGTTGTTTTAAGGATTGCTGCAACAAGGGTTTAGGGTTCCTTCAAATCTACCTTTAAGTTTAAGGGAAACCCCTTAAAGCCCCTAAAGAAAGGCTCCCTTATAGATCGCTTAAACTACCCCTTGTAGATCCCTTAAACTACCCCTTATAGATCCTCTAAGCTACGCCTGATAGATCCCCTAAGCTACCCCTGGTAGATCCCTTAAGGGATCTTTGAGGCCCGGTTCCGCTTCAACTTGTGTTGGCATGGTGAGGTGCGGGCTGGGCCGGAATTCAGCTCCTGCAAAGCCTCCAGGAGACGCTGGGGTTTAGGGTTTAGGGGGGGTTTCCGAAAATAGGGGTACCTGATTTTGGGGTCCTTAGAATAAGGATCCTACTATTTAGGGTGCTATATTAGGGTCCCCTGTTTTCGGAAACTACCATTTGAGGTTCCTTGAAGGGCTCCTTTCAGGGCTTCCGTAGCAAACAATTTAGGGTTCCTTTGAGGGCTTCTATCAGGGATTTTTGATGATGGTTGAGGGTTCCCTTAAAGGGTTGTCTCTAAGTACGGGTTGGGGCATAGTCTAGGGTCTGGGGCTTCTCTGCCCTTGAATGCTAAATCCGATGCCAGTGAGTTGCCTGTAGGTTTCCAGGGTATATGCCCTGATTCAAGTTTTTACTTAGAGGTTCATGGGTAGTTAGTTATAACTGGAGTTATAAGATAAGTGGTGTAGCTACAAAATAGTACTCCTCTTAAGGTACTTATACCCCCCACTTATACCTACCCTAGACCCTAAACCCTATAGAACCTTTTAAAGGAGCCCTACATATGACCTTTGACTTATAGCTACCCATGAACCTCGAAGTAAGCCTCCAAAGTCTACCACCACCTTCTCAGGGTCTTGGCTTCTAATTCGACGGCAGGTCACAGCTTTCGTAGGATCCACGTAATATAGGGGCTTAGATAATTACCAATACAATTTGGGGGGCTGGTTTTTTATAATTGTAGTATCATGGGCCCAAAAACCTTATTCTAATTCTTAAGGCGCCTACATTATGTTCTCCTCAAGCCAGTAACCATGCACCTGCACCCTACACTCCCTACACCCTTAACTCTCAACCGCAACCCCCTACACCCTAAACCCTCAACCCTAAACGCTGCGGTTTGAAAAAGCTGCTGAGAAACAAAGCTCAAAACTCAAAGCCCTAAGCCTAAACCCTAAACCCTGAACCTCTAAACCCCAAGCCCTAAACACTAAGACTCCTAAACCCTGAAGCCGTAACAAGAAAGCCGAAGAAACCCAAACCCACGAACTTCAACTCCGAGCCAACCCTAAACCCTAACCCGCAGCAGGAGCTGGGAATCGACGCTGAGGTTCCTTTTTTGGGGGGGTTTAGGGTGCCTTTAGAGGGTACTATAAGGGTTCCCTTTAAGGGATTTTTGCGCGTTACTATAAGGGTACTTAAGGGTTCTAGGAGTTTGGGGTTTGGGGTGTGAGTTTCAGGCCTTTTTTTCTTTTTTTTCAATTTTAGGATTTAGGGCGGAGGTCTTAGGTCTTCAGGGCTTGGGAGTCTTAGGGTTCAGGGCTAAGGGTTTAGAGTTTAGGGTTTAGGGTTTAGGGTGTAGAGGGACCCAAAAGTATGTAGAATAGTGGCCTGTTATAGGTTTTGGGCCATGATTCTACCTACTTTTGAGGGTCTAGGTAGAGGTTTTTTGAGGTTCAGGGCTTTGGGGTTTAACGATCAAGGATTAAAGTTCATGGGTTTAAGGGGTTTCAGGTGCAGGGCCCTAAACCCTAAACCATCGTTTCGATTTCGGGGTTCGAAGGTTGGGCTTCGGGGCTTTGAGGTCAGGCTCTCAGGGTTTAGGGTTGGGGGTTTTAGGGTTTAGGGGTTTAGGGGTTTAGGGCTTAGGGTTGTTCCTTTGAGATTTCCGTTAAGGGCACTATAGGGGTGCTAGAACTTTTGAAAGGGTTTTCGGCTGGGGTTTAGACTCTTTCTTTGGAGAGCAGATAGGAAGACCTGGGCCGTGAGAGGGTGGGTTCCATTCGATACCCTCTTAGGGCTTCGGTTTAGGGTTTAGGGATAAGGGGTTGTAACTCGACAATTTACCGAATAGGAAAATGCAACCCCTATGCCAGGTGTAAGGCCTGAGCCGCTCTCTATCCTAAAGCCTTATTCTACACTCAAGCCCAAGACACTGAAACGGCAGCGCTCCCAAGCCATGTCGCAAGCCCTCACCCCGAAACCTTGAACCCGAAACCCCCGAAAGCCTAAGCCCTAACGCCTAGACCACCCCAATACCCAGAGAGCCACGACCAGGTGTTTGACAAACTGAACGCCGTCGGACCGACTTGCCTTCGTCATAGTTGGGGAACATTTTACGTGTTTATGGTTATTTAAAACCCAAGAAGTAATCGACATCTAAGTGTTACTACTATATATCTCCACGTTACTTAAACCCAAAAGCGATATTTAAGTGTTAATACTATCTCAACGTTACCTAAGCCCAAGAAGGAATGGACATTCAAGTGTTAATACGATCTTAACGTTACTTAAACCCTTGACATTCAAGTGTTAATTAACATTATCTCAGCGTTACTGTTACTTAAACTCAAGATGGAATAGACGTTTAAGTAAGTGTTGATACTATCTCCACTATGGGCTAGCTTGCCGAACCTTGCAGGGGTGTATATAGGGCTTTAGGAGTCTTTGGCCTTCGGGATATAGGGGTTTAGGAGCTGTAGTGGCGGAGGGTTTAGGGTTAAGGGGGATATGGGGGTTTAGGAATTAGGAACTATAGTGGTTGAGGCTTCAGATTTTTGGGGATTTCGGCACTTACATAGTGGTCGCGGGTTCAGGGTTTAGGGTTTGAAGCTCTGGTGGTTGCTCAAGAAATATAGATTCACCATATCATTCCGAAGTCCCTTGGGGTTCCTGATTGCGTTTATACTATGAAGGTGCCAAAATCCTAGTATAATGAAAGCCCCGGCATTATAGGGTTAAGCTGGATAAAGAAAGGTTCTAGACGGTGTTGTGCAAGAAGAAGTCTCCTCGACCCTAAACTCCTAAACCCCTAACCCCTAAACCCTCAACCCCTAAAACCCCTAAACCTCTAAACCCTAAACCCCTAAACCCCTAAACCCTACACCCTAAACCCTGGTGGTTTTCAACCTGAAGACCCGCTCCGCGATCGAGTCGCGTCCAATCCGGCGACCATCAGCGCCAAGTTCAATGAATCGGACAAGCTCATGATCAAGCTGGGTATTGAAGATGCGTCTGGTACCATCACCCTCGAGCAGACCCATCGTCTTGTAGGGGCGGATGAGAAAGGCTTCAGCCAAAGAGCGGATAGCATCTCCCTAAACCCTAAACCTCTAAACCCTAAACCCCTAAACCCTAAACCCATACGCCGTACAAGGCCTGATCGTTCGGTAAAGCCAGGACCCACAACCCTAAGCCCTGAGCCCTAAACGTCTCGGTCGCATTCCATGCCTTGTTTCCGTGTTTGTGGTCAGCGGTTTTTCGGAGCAGTAAATCCTAAACCCTAAGCCCTAAACCCTAAGCCCTAAGCCCTAAACCCTAAGCCCTAAGCCCTAAACCCTAAACCCTAATCCCCAACCCGACGATGCCCTCAGCATTCAGCCGGTCGGGTTTGGACTCTGGAGCGTTCCCAGACCGCTGCTTGAAGCATCATGGGACACAACAGCTAGGTTTAGGGTTTAGGGTTTAGGGTTATAGGGTTTAGGGTTTAGGGTTTAGGGTTTAGGGTTTAGGGTTAGAGGGTTTAGGGTTTAGGGTTTAGGGTTATAGGGTTATAGGGTTTAGGGTTTAGGGTTAGAGGGTTTAGGATTTAGGGGCTAATATAGGGGCCTCAATAATTAATGATTAGAATAGGGTTTTGGGGCCCATTATATATACTATACTTATAATAAGGAACCCCCAAAACAGTATTAGGGTACCCTTCTTGGGGTTAGCGCTCATACCCTGTCCCGCAGCCTTTTTACTAAGTAAAGGTGTCATCCAAGTAGATTCCGAAACTCCATGAGTCGTTATGAGAGAGCCCCTTAGTTATATATGTGTTCAGTAAAAACATGAATCATTCGTATCAGGAACGCCTTTGTGTGCATCGAGTTTTCGCTACGAAATACCTCAAAATCTTGTTCCGAGTCAGAAAGCCCCTCTTTCAAATCCTATCAGTCCCACCTAAACCCTCAGCCCTGAAACCCTACACTCCTAAACCCTAAGCCCTACACCCTAAACCCACCTCCTCCTGCCGGAGCAAGCAGGAGGGACATGGACCCCTCAGATGAGCTATAGCGGCCGCTAGAGCTTTTTAGTGGTGTTCAGATGGTTGATGTTTCAAGGTTATAGTTTAAGGTTTAGGGTTTTAGGCTTTGGGGTTTGGGGTTGGGTGTTTAGGGTTAAGGGGTTTGGGGTTTTAGGGGTTCAGGGTTATGGGGTTTGGGGTTTAGGGTTTCGGGGTAGTCCCTTTAGGGTTTAGGGCTTTACAGAAGGCTGTCTAGTCTAGAGTTTCCTGGGGTTCAGGATTTAGGGCTTGTCTTGTTCTTTTGTGTGGGATGGGGTTCTGGTTGGGTTTTTCAGGTGGGGTTTGAGCTTCAGTGCTTGGGCTTTGGGACTTGGGACCACGGTGCAAGGTGCATGGCTCGGGAGCATGCCTAAATCCACGACTCTCAGTGGACCCCTACTTACACCCTAGTAGGGTCTCGGACCTTCCATCATGTACTTTGGTAAACCCTCAACCTCTAAACCCTAAACTCCTCAACCCTAAACCCTACGCAGCGAACCTTGCAAGTAAGCTATGGGAACCTACTGTACTTGCGGCTGCAGGGCTGCGATAAGAATTTCGGGTTTAGGGTTCACGGTTCAGGGCTTATAAGGCCTGGAGCCCTTTCCGGCTAAAAAAGGGGCTTTCTTTCATTGCTGTCGGGATTTTGGGTAAGGCGCACCTTGGGTTCCGGAGATGGAAGTCCGCTAACCCTCGACCCAAGGACCCGACACCCTCTACAAGCCATGTCCTAAGTGCTGAGGCCCTAAACAACCGAGCTCGTGGGCCCTTACGAACATCCCACAAGAACACCGTCAAAGCTAGTCTAACCTCGAAGGCTCCTAGAACCCGAAACCCTAAACCCTGATCTGTAAAACCCCCAAACCCTAAACGCCCTAAGCCCCACTAAACCCCAAACCCAAAACCCTAAACCCTAAACCCCTAAACCCTTAACCCCACTAAACCCAAACCGAGCCGAGGTCTCTCCCTGCACAGCCCGCGCTGGATCAACGGCATCTCGAGCCATGGAACCTAGGCGAAGGAGGAACGTTAGGGGATCGTTGAAGGGTTGCGTTAAACGGTTCCGTGAAGGGCTCCCTGAAAGTTTCTTTTAACTAAGACCCAGAGTAGGCCCTTATTTCCCTTTTCAGGGTTTAGGTTTTCTTAGAACACCCTTTAATCCAGAAAGGGCACCCTCTTATTTTCCCAGGTTACTCTTTGGTCTAGTCGAGGGCTACTGGAAGGGGGTCTTAAAAGGTTTGGTATGGGGGCCTGGGGATATGGCTGAGGAATCTATATGTGTTTAGGCTTGGAGAGAAAAGACGCAACGTCCCTGTACTATGCTTCGTACCGTTTGCACTGTTTTTTGGTGGTTTTTCTTAACTAGAGCATCCTCAACCCTAAACCCGGAACCCTGACTATTGAGAGGACCTTCGGGAACCTCACAGAGACGGGCTTCACGTGCAAGGTTTCGGGCTCGGGCTAAGGGGCTTCCTGAAAATCCAAAAGACAACCGTTGTGAGGGTTAGACCCTCTAATTAAGGGGTCATAAGTCATAACCTACTATTTTGTAGGATTTGGGGGATACAGGTTAAAATTTGGCATCATAGAGGGGTTGCCAGGGTTTAGAACTTATGGCTTAATTGCGCCCCCAGACCCTAAGCTCTGAGCCGTCAAGCCAATTCTCTTGACCCTCGACTTAGCAACTAGACAAAGTAGGCCTCTGCAGAGGATCCCACGCCGAAAGCCTCACACCCAAAACACATGACCCCTCCTAGCTCGGACAAGATCTTACGATGGACTTAAGATGACGATGCTCAACCCTCATCCTTTTTCCCGATGACACCATGAAACCTCCTTGGCATCCTGAAAGAAAAGCTTTCATAAGTACCCCTCCCTCGGTGGGTAGGGGGGACTTCATACCCATAATTTAAGGACTTAGTAAGGCCCCCTATAAAGCTGGAGGGCACTAAACCCTAAACCACTTGTTTAAAGGAGCCGCAGCTCAGGAAAGATCTTTCCATGGGTCAAAGATGACGATGAGAGCTGGCATTCGAAGCCAGACGCGCAAGAGGCCGGCAGGCCATAAGGTTTATAAGTTTATAAGTTTAGGGTTTAGGGTTTAGGAGGGTTATGTAATTGAGGGTTCTTCCAAAAAAGTGCTATAGGGTTTATAAGGTTTCTCACATTTTCAGAAGGGTTTTTCTAGTGCTTGTACGGGTTCCGGCGAGGTAGCTCTGTATTGTGCTACAAGGTTTCAAGAAGGATCTGTAATTGCTGCTTTGTTGCTTTTTGAGAAATGGTCTGGGTTGCAGGGTCAACAAATTTTCCTTAAGGGAGTAATATATAATATACCACCCCCAAACTCTATTCTAAGCATAATCTTGCGGGGTGTAATATACCCCCCCCAAACCCCATTCCCACCATTCATGAACCCTAAACTCTACACCCCAAACCCTTATAAGCCCTGAACCCTGAGCCCTCTTCCCGCCATTCATGTTAGGGTCCAAGGGAAAAAGGAGGGACCCTAAATAAGGACCCCTAGGTATATACCCTTACTATAGCCATTATATACCCATTATATAGCCCCATCATAGGGTAGGGGTCCCCATTAAGGGTCCCTCCTTTTCCCCTAAACCCCCTAAACGCCCAAACCCCTAAACCCTAAACCCTATACCCGTATAGCATCCCTATAGATCCCTTTAAAGGGACCCTTAACGAGTCCCTCCTTTTCCCCTTTGATTCCCGCCACTCATGTTAGGGGTCCTTCTTTCTTTTATTTCGAGCCCGGGAGCTTAGAGCTGAGAGCTCCGAGCTCTGGGCCTGAGTCGGGCCACGATCCTTGAAGGGTTCCTGTAAGGGTTCTTTTAAGGGATCCTTTAAGGGATCCTTTAAGGATCCTTTAAGGGATCCTTTAAGGGATCTTTTAAGGGTTGCTTTAAGGGATCCTTGAAGGGTTCCTTTAAGGGTTGCTTTAAGGGATCCTTTAAGGGATCCTTTAAGGATCCTTTAAGGGATCCTTTAAGGGATCTTTTAAGGGTTGCTTTAAGGGATCCTTGAAGGGTTCCTGTAAGGGTTCTTTTAAGGGATCCTTTAAGGGATCCTTTAAGGATCCTTTAAGGGATCCTTTAAGGGATCTTTTAAGGGTTGCTTTAAGGGATCCTTGAAGGGTTCCTTTAAGGGTTGCTTTAAGGGATCCTTTAAGGGATCCTTTAAGGATCCTTTAAGGGATCCTTTAAGGGATCTTTTAAGGGTTGCTTTAAGGGATCCTTGAAGGGTTCCTGTAAGGGTTCTTTTAAGGGATCCTTTAAGGGATCCTTTAAGGATCCTTTAAGGGATCCTTTAAGGGATCTTCTAAGGGTTGCTTTAAGGGATCCTTGAAGGGTTCCTTTAAGGGTTCTTTTAAGGGATCCTTTAAGGGATCCTTTAAGGATCCTGTAAGGGATCCTTTAAGGGATCTTCTAAGGGTTGCTTTAAGGGATCCTTGAAGGGTTCCTTTAAGGGTTGCTTTAAGGGATCCTTTAAGGGATCCTTTAAGGATCCTTTAAGGGATCCTTTAAGGGATCCTTTAAGGGTTGCTTTAAGGGATCCTTGAAGGGTTCCTTTAAGGGCTCTTTTAAGGGATCATTTAAGGGATCCTTTAAGGATTCTTTAAGGGATCCTTTAAGGGATCGTTTAAGGGTTGCTTTAAGGGATCCTTGAAGGGTTCCTTTCATGGTCTTTAAGGGATCCTTTAAGGGATCTTTTAAGGGTTGCTTTAAGGGATCCTTGAAGGGTTCCTTTAAGGGTTCCTTTAAGGGCTCCTTTTAGGGATCCTTTAAGGGCTCCTTTAAGGGATCCTTTAAGGGATCCTTTGAGGGATCCTTTAAGGGATCCTCTAAGGGATCCTCTAAGGGATCCTTTAAGGGATCCTTTAAGGGATCCTTTAAGGGATCCTTTAAGGGATCCTTTAAGGGATCCTTTAAGGGTTCCTTTAAGGGATCCTTTAAGGGATCTTTTAAGGGTTGCTTTAAGGGTTCTTTTAAGGGATCCTTTAAGCGATGCTTTAAGAGATCCTTTCAGGGATGCTTAAGGGATCCTTTAAGGATCCTTCAAGGGATGCTTTAAGGGATCCTTTAAGGGATCCTTTAAGGGTTCCTTTAAGGGTATCGTTAAAGGGTTGCTTTAAGGGATCCTTTAAGGGATCCTTTAAGGGATCCTGTAAGGGATCCTTTAAGGGATCCTTTAAGGGATCCTTTAAGGGATGCTTTAAGCGTTGCTTGAAGGGATTCTTTAAGGGATCCTTTAAGGGTTGCTTTAAGGGTTGCTTTATGGGATCCTTGAAGGGTTCCTTTAAGGGTTGCTTTAAGGGATCATTTAAGGGATCCTTTAAGGATCCTTTAAGGGATCCTTTAAGGGATCCTTTAAGGGTTGCTTTAAGGGTTCTTTTAAGGGATCTTTTAAGGGGGATCCTTCAAGGGTTCCTTTAAGGGTTCCTTTAAGGGTTCTTTTAAGGGATCCTTTAAGGGATCCTTTAAGGGATCCTGTAAGGGTTCCTTGAAGGGTTCCTTGAAGGGTTCCTTTAAGGGATCCTTTAAGGGATCCTTTAAGGGATCCTTTAAGGGTTCCTTTAAGGGTTCCTTTAAGCGATCCCTTTAAGGGATGCTTTAAGGGATCCTTTAAGGGATCCTTTAAGGATCCTTTAAGGGATGTTTTAAGGGATCCTTTAGGGGATCTATAGGGTTTAGGGTTTAGGGGCCCATAATTAGAAGAGGGTTCCTTTGAAGGGAAACTTTACGTACTTCAGAATCTACACGTAAGATGGAGGTGGGAGTAGCTAGTCATGGGGTCATCGTTGTATCCCTATTTAGGGTTTAGGGTTTAGTCTATACTACCTACACGGTGATACGATTATGCACTCAATAGCCCCATTCTATGCTAGTCCAGCTATTCATGCTCCTATCTTCTCCAAGACTCGAAGCTCCGAGGAGCCCACCTCTACCTATAGTCTCCAGTGTAGTTCCTTGTAACGTAATTATAGATATTAGCCCCATGAGGGGATTCATGGCCCGACTTATAACTACCCATGAACCTCCAAGTAGGCTCCGATTACCTACGGTTTCAAAGAGTAGATGCCCTGCAGATGAAGGAGTCAGAAGCTTCTATTCTGCAGGTACCCAGGTCCCTGAAATGCGAAGTCGGTTTAGGGTTTAGGGTTTAGGGTTTAGGGGTTTAGGGTTTAGGGTTTAGGGTTTAGGGTTTAGGGGTTTAGGGGTTTAGGGGTTTAGGGTTAAGGGTTTAGGGTTAACAGAATTTAACAGAATCACAAAGCGCTTGCGCCTGCACAGGTTTAGGATTCAGGGCCTTGTAGGGCTTAAGGCATAGTTACAACAACTCCATGCCCAAGTGCCCGATTCAGCCAGGTCCACACCTATCTGAACGATTACGTCGACCATCACGGTCTTCGAACCTTGAGTGCACGAGTTGCTCCTTGAAGTTTCCAAGAGCCTTGTACTTCCGGCGCATGGCCGAGTAGCTTTAGATTGATGTGTGGTTTCTTATTGTTGCTATAGTGGCGGGCTTCCAGATTTCAGTTCGGCCAGATGTGTTCATATATGCACACATCTATGTATCCCTATTTTGTGGCGAGGGATGCGAGGCGATTTGCATAGGACGTTGCGGGTCTATGAGGGCATCTTGGCAGCAGGTGTTGGGACCTATGTCAACATGTTTTTGTTGTACACTGCGTACGCTTTTCGGGTTTAGGGTTGCGCAAGGATCTGTGTAAGCTACCGTGGTAAGGAAACTTTGGGTATTTAGTATAAACCTCTGCTTTTGTATCTTGAATTAAGTTCCTGAACAAAGAACACAGAAAAACGCGCAACAAATCGTATGAGCAGGTATATCGGATGGTCTGTTAGGCCCCAGGCCGAAGGCAAAACCATGTGCCTTAGGCTTTACCGCAAACCCTAAACGTTAAACCCCAAGCCCTAAACCCTCAACCCCAAACCCCAAACACTAAACCCAAACCCAAAACCCTAAGCCGTAACCCGAAGCAGCCGAAAAGGATCCAAAATCCACTGCAATGCATTCATCACCGAGATCTGCCACTGCTCAAAGTCTCAGCAGGTGCACGTCAAGGCGCCGGCCATATACCCAAACTTAGATTTTAGTGTTTAGGGTTTTTTGGTTGAGGTTTACGGCTTAGGCCCCAAACCCTCCTGGAAAGGGCATGGGGTGGAGGTTTGACGGTTACAACTTCAGCGTCTAGGGTTTAAGTTTGGAGATTATCGTCGAGGCTTTGGCGACGTAGAGTGTAGGAATTTGTCTCTTTCGAGATAGGGCTCGAAGACTTGACGCATGTGTAGCCGACACCCAAATTGGAAGTCCTTTGAGCGAGGGTCCCGGTTTAGGGTTTAGGCTCAGGGTCCCTCTTCAGTAAATTTAGGGGCTTGATGACACGAGTGAGTGATGTATTGTCTTGGGTGCCTCATTCGGGATCCCTGAAAAAAAACAACCCAACGTCAAAAGCACTAAACCCTTAACCCACCTGAACTCAGTGCATAGCCCAAGCCCGCAAGCAGGTGCAGTTAAACGGCCAGCTGGTCCAGTGTCCTGGCTGGAACCCCAAAGTCGAACCCCCAAACGCTGAAACCTAAACCCCAGACGCGAACTCCCAAAACCCTAAACCCCTGCCCTAAACCTTAAACCCCGAACTCAAAAACCCTAAACCCCAAACCCTAAACGCCGATGAGCCCTAAGCCCTACGACGATGGTCTTTCAGGTCAGAGCCGCTTCGGGTTCGCAGGGGCATTAGGGTTTAGTGGGTTTGGGTTTAGAGTCCAAGGTTTACGGTTTAGGGTTTACTGGGTTCAAGGCTTAGGGGTTATATAGGGTTCCAGGTCTAGGGCGGGTTTAGGGCTGACCTGTTAACGATTCGAAGGGTCTCGGCCCGGTTCAGGGTTTAGGGTGGCATGAAAGTAAGAGTGGTGGGATGCCCGGTCGTAGTTCAGGATGCTGTCTGAAGCCGACAATGGAGATGAAGACGAACAAGGCCGAATACATTACGGCTACAGTTGTAGTTACTTGTCGCCCTCGTTCGCGCATTCATAAGCCAGCCAGGTACCCCTCAAATCAGGAATATCATACCTTAAATCAGGACATAATGATGGTGCATTCCTTGATCAAGGGGTATTGGGCTCTTTGGTTAGGGCCTGGGGTGTAGTAGTAAGCAGGTTATGGGTAGGTTTAGAAGTATGCCAGTTGGTGTTATTGTACATACATCCACACTCACAGGCTTATATGTACCTTCACAACTAGTAAGAAATTTTTAGAGATCCTGACCATAGCTATGCCGTAATATATTCCAAGGCCGTACTCTAGTTGCCAAGAAGTCCCCATACAGTAAAAGCCAGAAAGTTGGAATATGATTATCCGAACCCTTCTATGGTAAATTATAGGGTATCCTACCATGAAACCATATGCCAACTTTCTGGAGTTTCCTATATCAGTTGCTGACTTCTCCGATCCTCTGAGCAAGGAGAGGGCCTTTTACCTTGGTCGTGTTCAGTGCCATGCGTTCCGGCTGCAGGGTTTCTGGTTTTAGGCTTCAGAGCGTTAGGGCTTTAGGTTCTTGGTGTTACATCATAAGCTGAAGGGTCAAGAGGGCATCAGGGTTATAGGATTTTCGATTAAGGGTTTGAGCTCAAAAGTAAGCGCCTAGGATTTTGGATTTCGGGTTTAAGGTTTTGGCCTTACGGTTTGTGTCTAGCACCTTCAGTCCTAAAAACCAAATTCCTGGACCCGAAACCCTAAACCGTCAATGTCTAACCGGTTTCACATGGGTGGTTGTCAAAATTAGGGTCCCTTTTCGGGTCCCTATTATAATACGGCACTTATTATTTAGGGTACCCCAAAAGGGGACCCTAATTTTGACAACCCCCCACATGCCAATGCAGGATTAAGGTTTCGATTTTGTACTCAGGCGAGGGAGCGAGATGAGCCTCCATTGCGGTGTAATTTAGAAGCTGCCCCCACCCTGTAATAGTGACTATAAGGATTCGATTAGGGCCCTATTATATTCCAATTATACCACTGTTACAGGGTGGGGGCCTCTTCTAAGGTGTAAGAGGCCTCAGTAAAGTGTTGCTTCAAGGCGTAGGGCGGTTTTAGAATTGTAAGATTTCTCGAAAGGTGTTGGGGAAGGGGTTTCTAGGGCGTTTATAGAGCGTTAATATAGAGGCCTTCATAGCTGGAGCAGGGTTGTGTGGTGAAGAATATAGACTTTGTTCATAGTACGGAATTTTGAAGGCATGTCAGTACTAAAGATATGAGGCTCCTGTATTACACTAAATCGCACTGTGGTGGACTGCACCACTCTGCATCTGCACGATTTCTGTGAGGATTCGACATTTTAGTCTTCGGGACAAGCAGCAATCGGAAGCCTCCCTCCCTGACTCTGGACGGGCTTTAGGGTTGGGTTAACCTCAACCTACCAAAACCTACAAAAAAGTAGGGTCCCTATAAATTCCATATCAGGGTTTAGAATAAGAACCTACAAACATGTAGGGTTTGGTAGGTTGAGGAGGGGGTTAGCACCACCCACGGGGAGCGAGAGTCACAGGAACGGTGGTCGGCGCAAGATACGGTCGTAAAATAGGTGTTAAGCAGTAGTCTTATCTTGCAGTGATCTGAACCGCCGTGTTCTTGAGATTGGTTTGTAACAAGATCTGTTGACACTGATGTCGTCCAGGACGTACTAGGAGTTCAGGTGGTAGTTTGGGCTTAAGGGTTTCAGGATCTAAGACGAACCGTGGCAGTGATGTATCTTGTCCAGGTCTGGCAAAGCTTCAATGCCAAGTGACTTGCTCCGCATCTTTCGTGTTCTCGAGGATGTGGCAGCTCCAAACCCCTGCCGTAGAACTTAATTAAGGCCACTTTTGGGTTTACGGCTTAGACTTCTCCAGGATGTCCGACAGAACTCACGACATTCGCGGAGTACCTATAGTCTCCATTGTAGTTCCTTTTTTGGTTTAACCACTTATATATTAAGGATCCCATAAGGTAACCCCCAAAAAAGAACTACAGTGAAGACTACAGGTAGTGTCTGAATGGAAGGCTGTTGTTGTCCGGGAAGTGGTCTGGTCGCTTTCGGCCGCGATGCTCGAAGGACACCGCATCTCCCCAACCTTAGGGACCCAAAAAGCACATAAGCATAAGCATTTTATGGGGATATCCCTACCTTACTGGGCTTCATGATAAGGGGATTTATATGGGATATCCCTACCCTAAATTTTGCTTATGTGCATTTTTGGGGCCCTACAACCCTAAACCCCAGAGAAGTCATAGGAGGCCAAAAGGGGTTTTAGCCTATGGGGGTTTTATGTAGGGATTAGGGTTCCTTTAATCGGGTTCATATGAAGGAGTCCCTACCCCAAGACTCTTAAGACCCCCTTTTTGGCCTCCCATAAGAAGTCTCATCAAATCCTCCTAGCGGTACTAACTGGGGCTCAGGAGGCCCGACAAAGCCTTCGCGTAAGTGATAGGTTCATTTGCACGCCATTTGCACGCAACTCCCAAGAAGCCACAAGAATAAGATCTTGAGCTCTACATATGGGGGCCTTGAGTGTACATTTGTATAGTCATGTCTCCAACATGGGCAGGGAGTTCGCATTCCACCTACCCCCCCCCCCCCCCCCCCAAACTTACACGCCTTGTTCCTTGGAACCCAGGAATCCCGAACAACAAGTTCGAGGGTCGAGTGCTGCATAGCCACGAGGTCAAGGACGAGGTGGCGCCTGGGTGTGAGTTTGCCCTAGGCCCTGATATGGGCTCGCCTAAATATTTACCAATACTTAGTTATAGTATAATTAGTTCCAAAACGCTATGCTAATCTACTTAATTATTATTTAATTGTAGTATAATAAGCCCCACGACCCTATGCTACTAATAATAGTTAAGGCCCCGAGATGAACCCCAAACCCCGACACCCTGAAGCTTTACATACATGCGAACACCCTACATCCTAAACCTCTAATCTCGGTCGTTGAGTCGCTCCGACCTCACCCGTCCCTAGAGGCTCTCTGAATCTGCAGACGGAATAAGGGTGCTAAAAGAAACAACCTAATCCATAAGCCTTAAAGGGTTTAGAGGGTTCAGGGACTCCATCCTTATAGAGGGTTTAGAGGGTCTAGGTTTTAAGTTTTGCAGGGTTGAGGGTTCAGGGCTTGAGTACCCCATTTTGGCTCAGGATTTAGGGTGGCATCGATTTCGAAATAATCAATCAAGAGACACTGGAACCCGACAACATCCGAAGCCCAAAACCCTGCATGCCGCGAGCATTGCAGGTACTGAAAGAGGTCGTCAAGAAGAACCTCCGAGTCCTTATCCTGGGTGGTGGCAAGTCGGGCTGCGACGCATTGGAGCAGTTAACCTTCAGGGTTTGAAGGCGGTTCAACCTCAATCACAACACATAGCCTCCTTCTAAGTCCGTTTTCTGGTTAACATGTCTTGGTCACGGACAAACGGGTAGAATCGAATAAAGGAACTGCATTGGAGACTCTAGGTACTGTCCCGGGGGCCGAAAGAGCAGCTAGATCAATAGGTCTATGACTTAAACTTGGTGGCATTGATGGTTCAGAGCCTGGGGCTACACCTCGAATCCTACCTCGGATCCATGGAATTGCAGTGATGCTAGCCTCTCTGCTTGAAGTAGTACTGATACAAACAAAGACAGTTCTCCATACTTACAGTTACCGATGAGTATCTTGATTTGAAGAAGAGTAGCGAGAACAGCCTTGCTGAATATGTTCGAACAGTCGTCAAGGACATCCCTAAACCCTAAACCCTAAACCCTCAAGGACATGATCCAAGCCTGCCAAAAGATGAACCACAGCAACCTCATCTGGTTGATGCGGGCGCCATATTGGCCTGGCCCCAAGTGACTAGGACCTGGAGTAGGCCCTTATTCTCTGTTTTAGGGTTCAGGTTCCCTTATCAAGCCCCTTTAAACCAAAAAGGGCACCCTTTTTATTCCGAGGTTACTCTTAGGTCTAGGTGATGTTTCCAACGCAAAGCCCAAACTCTCAAGGGTTAGTGGCCTGGGCTTTTTGGGCAGCCTTAGGGTTTAGCTTTTATAACGGATTGTGGCTTTGTGTTTGAGGCTTTGGGCCCAAGTTAGGTTGTGCAAGTTGCGTTTAGTGAGGCTTCAGAGGTTTGGGCATAAGGCTGCACGGTGCTTTCCAAAATTAAGGCTCGCCATTGGACCTTCAAGCCTTGCGGATCATACAGCATAGCAACAGCCAGCCCTGTCAGAAACTGCTGCTGTATGGGCCCTTGCACTTGGCACTGGCAGCTTTTGTGCTACGCCAGCCGTGAACCCCTAAACCATAAACCACCCAGCCTTAAACCGCAAACCCCGCACGCCAAAACCCTAAGCTTGGGTAGGGGGGCAGTAATCAACTCCATAGCCTGAGCCCTAAACCCATAACAACTAATCCGGCGTCCCAAGCAGTGTGTGGATAGAACCCTAAGAAGTGTTGCGTAGAATTGTCGTTACGGACTACTCAAAAAGGTGTCATATGTGAACACCTTACAAAGCCCGCTTCAGACCCTAGTACTCTAAACATCTTCAAAGTGCCAGAAACCTTCTACTTACTTACTTAGTTCAACTGTATCCCCGGAGCCCCGCCCTACAACCCTGAACCGGAAACCCCAAACCCTAAATGTCGAGCCCCAACCCTAAAGCCTAAACCCTACACTTACACCCCAAACCCTAGCCCCTAAGCCCCCGTACCCTGAGCCTTAAACCGTAAGCCCTAGCCCTAATCCCTATACACCTTAAGCCGCAAACCCTAGCCCCAGACCCAAAAACAACGTACCCCAAACCTTAAACCGTAAGCCCTAAGCATCCCTAAACCATACAGTGAGATCTAAACTCGCATACCCTGGACCTTGATTCGCAAGCTCTAAACCATACGATGGGATGCCGAGGTTCATGCGCCACGAGGCCGTGAGCCACAGGCCCGGGTGAGGAAGGGGGTGGGGGGGGGGGGTTAGGGTTGGGGGTTTAGGGTTTAGGGTTTAGGGAGCCGCGCTTCAATGGCTAGGAGTGCATGGGAGTTCTGGGCTTTTAGGTCCGTCGTTGTTTTGTTTGCCTGTGGTTCTTCCTCGGCTGATTGAAATTTGGGGTGCGGGTCTGCTGCCACGTGGGTCTTTTCGGACTGCTGGGATTAGCCTGTTTCGTTTTGTCGCTATGTGCTGCTGTAGGGCTTCGGGCGTAGTGAGTCTAGGATGGGCTTCGGTAGTTTAGGGTTTAAGGTTCAGTTTCAGGGGCAGCAAGCAAGCATTCTCTGTGTCCATACGGATCTTAGGATCAGCGTTGAGCAGCCTGATTAAATTCAGACTACGCCGTCGGTTTTACGCAGTCGCTGAACTGTCTTCTAACGATCCTGTAGCTAACCTGCGGCAGGAGCAGGAAGATGATGTAGACAACCCGATGCTTTCGAACAGCAGGGATTTTATGAAGAAGAAACTATCACTCTCGACAACAGTTGTATACACAGTTACGAGTAGAGCGGAAGGAATGAGAGGAATGTTGATGCCAATGCGAGGAATCCGAATGCATTCTTCCTCATTCCTCAAGCAAGACACTGTACGCCCCCACGAAAAGCCTTTCAAAATGCAATAGAAACCCCAGCGCAGCCTTCTCAAGACTCTTCACACTGTTTGCAGAACACACAATATTCCAAGCCCTGGATCTAAAGCTCCTGGAGCCACTACGCCGCTACAACCACAAGAATCCCTAAACCCAAAAAGTTTCAGAAGCCCAACACGCATAAAACCCTTCAAACAGCGAGTGAACAAGTCCTAGAACGACCAAGATCCTCAAAACAAACACCAAAAGAACCTCAGTCCTAAATCCTAAACCCTTAACCGTCAACCCCAGGCGGACCCTACTTGGAAAGCTCCGCGCGTTTCTGGTTTTGACTACCGTCCCCTGGTTTCTCCTCAAGCCGAGGCTGGAGGCTCTTGGTACTATCCTACATTATCTATTTAACAGGGGTCCTTTAAAGGGGTTTATAAGGGTCATTATAAGGGATCTATAAGGGTAATAGTATAAGGGCCTTACTATACGTTATATCGTGTATTACTGTTGTATTAATGTTTTGGGAAAATTAGCGTTACATTATCTGAATATGAATGTTAATAGGTGTATTAACATGAAGCAAAATTCATATTGCTACTAACTTTACTCTTAAGAGCATAGTATTACTCCCTTATCTAACCCTGAGCCAGTAAGATCACTCCTGGGCTATTTAGAGGTCAAAACGTGGGTTTTATCGGGTTATTGCTTGACTTCTCGGAGGCCTCAAAAGGTGGGATGAAGGTGGGTAGGATCAAGGATCCGTTATATAAGGACTCTCATTTGGGAATATCCCACCTCCCTTCATCCCACCTTTTGAGGACTCCAAACTTCAGGCGTTTAATGTTTACGGTTTTGGGCTTCAGGGTCCCAGGTCCTAGAGCTGAAGTTGGGGTCTATGGGCTTCATGATGCTTTCTAAACCATAAACCCCTGAACCTTAAATCGCAAACCCTTAACCTCTGAACCCTAAACCCTAGCCCCTCCTATAGAACCTAAACCCCTAAGCCCTAAAGCCAAAGCCCCTAACCCTAAACCCTGTTTTGCTAAACCCTAAAATTGCTAAACCCTGAACCCTAAGCCCATGAATGGTTGAGGTGCAGCCCCCGGGAGAAAGACTCCGCACAGATGGTTTAGGAAAATACCACGGAGTTGATTGAAGACTACAAACCTGAACCCGAATTGCACCCAATATTTGGGACGTCCTTGCAGTAGTCTTCTGTCGTTTAGGTCAGGGTTTGGAGTTTTGGGAACATTATGTTTGTACTGCAGCCATCAACTTATACGCCCGCTCTGATAGTTTCCCTGTAGGAGTGTGACAGCAATCAAGAAGAGTATGCCGACAGTTTCAAGCAAATGCTCCTTGAGGGAAAGATTGACTCTCCAACGCCTGGGGTGTTGGCTAACATCGAAAGGCTCGCTTAGACCTAGACCGACGAGCCAGAATCCACGTACTCATAAACTGAACTGTATTAAAAAAGCCGTTGGGGTTGCTACAGATAGAAGCTTACTTCACATCTTTTTACTAAGTCGTATTATCTTGCAATTAAACTCTACACCTGGACTCATGAGATGCATGTTCCGGCAGGGTCGGAATTTTCCTAACGTGGCTACTTGGCGCCTCGTCAGCAAGCACCTGGAGGAAGGGTAAGTATGCAAAACGCAAGGGTTGCACAGCAATATCAACAAAGGCTCGTAGAACCGTATCTGCACTCTTCGCTTTGGTTCTCTCTTTCCTGGGTTGGCTTGTTAGAGTTTGTCGGTATAGCTAACCCTAAACCCTCAACCTTAAACCCTAAACCTTAAACCCCTAAACCCCTAAACCCCTAAACCCTAAACCCTTAACCTTAAACCATACACCCTAAACCTTAAACCCCTAAACCCCTAAACCCCTAAACCCTAAACCCTAAAGCTTCAAATGGTTAAGCATGAAGACCGGGTTGTGCCGGGGGGACCTGAGCAACTTCGTCCAAGAGCTCCTTCCGTGGTACTCGTACTTCTTAGCACAAGGGTTTAGGGTTCAGGGTTTAGGGTTCAAGAGGGATCGTCAAAAAGGGTTGCTCACCAGGGGTTTATGCCTTCTCACCAACCAGTTACTAATAGTTATATTCTCTCATTGTCATTTTGTCCCATACGGTAGTTTCTGTTGACTGAGCTATTGAAATGTTTGAGACTCCCGACTACCGTAGACACCCGACGGGTAAACCCATCGTCCTTAGCGACCTTGCTAAACGGATCCCATGCAATCTCTATGAGGAGGGTGTTACAAAGCAGGGTGCTTAAGGTTAGGGGGTATTTATGCTGGAGGCATGTTATTTGTACCCCTATAGTACATGAAGCTGAGCTTCTTGGCTTGATAGCAGGACATGACGTGCAGGGATGATTTGGGTGTGCGTGTAGACATATTTACATATGTGACATGTTTTTGCATGTACAATTATGTGAAATATGTTTGTGAGCATTTGTACTTTGGATTTGTGCTTAAGGCATGCGTATGGAGCCTTCTTGCAAACTGTAAACTTACAGGAGGACTACTTACTAAGCCCGATGACCCTTCACACGTCCCGGAAGCCCTGCACAAACCCTACCAAAATCGGAGCTCGTTTGCTTGAAAAGACATCTCGCAGTCCTTTGCCCTTTGCTATCCCCCAAACTCTGGAACCCGTGCTTGAAACGGAGTAGCCTGTCTAAGATCCTATGCGGCCTTACGTCACAAAACTATACGGATCATTGAGCCGAGCTTCAATACAAAACTTAAACCCTAAGCCAGCCTCAAACCCTTAAGCCAGCCTCAAACCCTTAAGCCTTAAATCCTAAACCTTAAACACAAAAACCCGAAACCCTGCACCCTGAACACCAAGCCCCTTAACCCTGAACCCCCTAATCCCGAAACCCTAAACCTTAAACACACAAATACCCAAAAACACTACACCCAAGGCGTGCTTATCCAGCCGGCACAGAAGGGCCTTCCAGCTCACTTCGACCCGAGCCGCTTCCACCTGGGCCTCCCTGCTCTGACTATTAAGGGGGATGCTTCGCGTAGTTACTGGGACGTCAGTGTGCACATACAACATATGCGTACATTATATATATATATATATATATATATATAGAGATAGATACATAGATAGATGTACGTACGTATGTCTGTATGCATGCATGTACGTATGTATGTTTGTATGTATGTGTGTATGTATGTACATATGTATGTATGTAGGTATGTATGTATCCATGTACACATGTATGCACGTAGGCGTTTCTGTATGTATGCGTTAATGCATGCATATGTAGCCTATATATATATATATATATATATATATATATGCCCCCCCAATGTATGCGGTTTTCACTTACCTTTGTATGTACATTTATACTTCTGTGTGTATGTATGTATGTATGTATGTATGTATGTATGTATGTACGAATGCATGTATGCAAGTACTGTGCCCAGTATGTATGCATGCATGTATGCATCTATGCATGTATGTATGTATATATGTATGTATGTATGTACGCATGTACGAATGTACTCATGTATATATGCGGGTATGTATGTATGTATGTAAGTACGTATGTATGTGTGTACGTATGCGTGCGCGTTTATGTAGGTAGGTATGTACAGGCTGTTTACAGATGACCAATAACACCTCATATGTCATATAACATATATACAGATGTTAAATGTTAGACATATATACATACATACATTACACGCACTCTCTCTCTCTCTCTCTCATGTGTGCGTGTTTCTTGAGGGGCTGGTCTCCGGGTCCCCACAAGGATTACAGGTCGGAGGCTCTCGTGGATGAGAGGGGCCATGCTGCTCAGTGCACCTAATATATCTTAGATCCCCAATACATAACCTTTAAACTTGTTGGGTTCTTATAGTTTAGTAGGAATCGGAAACCTTTCATTTCTGTGGATTATTGCAGTAGTAAGATAGGGGCCTAAATACTTACCAATGCTGTATTGGGGGTCTCTTATTGCCATTTTAGTATAATACGCACCAAAACCCTCTTCTACGTGTGCAGGCCCTATATTCTGACTTGATGTTTACGGCTTGATTAGGGTTCAGGGTTTGAGGCTTAGGTCCAGCGTGCAGCGTTAGGGCCTGTGCGCCCGCACCCTAGATCTCAGGCAATCAACAACACCCCATACTCACCCAATCTCGTAATCTGCAAGCCTCCAAAGTCTTGGGCCTTTTGTGAAACACCTCTTGATGAGCATTCCAAACCAAACTGAGGCATCCTGGATAGGAGTCAGGAAGCCTTCATCAAGAAGGCCTTCTGTTTGGGGCTTAGGGTTGAGGCTAAGCCCAGCGCTCTGTTATCCTGTGTTCCTGAACAGCGGGTTTGCTAATGTTTATGGTTACTAGGGCCTATCAGTCTTATAGCGTTTATAGGGCTTCTAGGGTTTATAGTATAGGGGAGGAAGCATCTATAGAGCAACTAAGCTTTCTGGAGTTTATGCCGCCCACGGTGTTTCATTTCAGGAAACGGCAACGGGATCTTTGTATACCGAGCCCCAAGCCACTAAACCCTAACTGCCAAGCCCTAAACCTTAAACCCTAAGCCCCAAACCCAAAACCACTAATGGTCGGACACCCAGCTGCTCAATGCTGTCTGGCATTATTTTGATCACAGACTTTCTTGAACGGACGATCCCTCGGGCGTTCGAGGCGGGCCGACGCCTAGCCGACGAGCATCGCTTGAAAACAGAAACCTAACCCCTAAACCCTAAACCTTCAACCCTAAACCCTACACCCAAAAGTAACTTCAGTCGAGCTTCGACTTGCCTCTTGCTGACTCAAGCTGGAACTTTCAGCACGGCAGCCATCAGAATCCGATGGAGTTTGCAGCGTGCCGGCTGTCATATTCCTTAATTTGAGCTGTAGGCCTATTCCAAAGTTTGCCTCTGACTCGTCAGTAGGAGTTTCAATATCCATCCTATCCTTATGCTTACCGAATACTGCAGAATAATCTTCTACAAACTCCCTGACCAGATTGAACAGTGCGTGCGGGCAGATGCACGTTTTTGGAATGCTTTAGGATGCAGGCTTTGCGATTGTTTCCCAAGTTCGGCATGTAGCTCGGTGGATCGAGGCTGCAGACTTCAAGCTTCAGTGCTTACGTAGGTACAGGTTTTGTTTTTCTGAGGTTTCCCACAGTTTCCAAGCACGAATTCAGAGCTCGCATTCCGCTGTTTTCCCAGAGAGCTAAATTCCCGTGAGCGATGCAATTACATCCGACGAAGTCTGTGGTTGAAGGGGTATGCAGAAAAACCCAAACTTGGCCAAGAATATACCCCGAGCATTAAAATGCCAAGCCCTAAGATCCAAATTCCTATACCCTAAAGCCCGCCCCAAACCCCACAGACGCTAAAGCCTCAAACCCTGACCCCTAAACCTCTTCACCCTAAATTGTTAAACCCCGATCGGTTTTGCAGGGTTTAGGGAGCGTTTCTGGTGCCGAGAAGGTCACACCCAAGATCGGCGAGCCGAAAAGCCTCGAGAAGGTACCCCTGTTCGGAACTTCGGGTTTGGGGTTTTGGGTTTGGGGTTTAGACTTAGGGTTTAGGGTTTCGGGATTTGGTGTTTGGGGTTTTAGTAAACTTAGGGTTTAGGGATTTAGGGCGTAGGAGCAGCAGAGGAGAAAGGTGCATGATACAATTTTCTTGTATGTAGGATATGGTTGCTGACTTCGGGTCTGTGCAGGATGCTTTTCGCGTTTACCCTGAGCACTGCCCCCACTCAGTTACAATTGAATGTTTCTAAATACAGATACACAATGCCCTTAGAAGTAGCCCCATTATAGACCCGAAGTTTACCCGGATGTTAGCCAGAACTTGTAGAAAGAGAAGGCCCTCGCCGTCGTATTCTACATTGCTTGCTGCACGTAATGGGTGGTTTATATCCCTAAACTCTACGCACAAGTCGAGAAGTGTACCACGTTTAGAAAAAGCCCCTAAACCTAAACTGTGAGTGAATATCTCGGAATGCTAACCTCTCAACTTCCCGAAGCTGCATAGTTATGGCATGCGGAGTGCCAAAGTCTTAGTCTGACTAAATCTGTCTAAGGATGCAGACCCCTACATGGGTGGTTGTCAAAATTATGATCCTTTTTTGGGTACCCTAAATATTAGGCGCCGTACTATATGAGGGACCCAGAAAAGGGACCATAATTTTGAGAACCACCGCCATCAGGTCTGTTGAGAACTGGGATGTTCTGGCCACAGTGTAGTCTTCAGCCTTTAATTTTGCATCCCTTCCTGAGGCTCGTGTTGCAGACTTCAGGTGTAGGGCTTGGGGTTTGCGGTTTGGGGTTAAGGGCAGGGGGTTGGCCGGAGTGTTGTGTTTCTGGGTTGTAGCGTTGGTTGTTGCGGCTGGGGATTGTCCAACAGAGACCTTATAAACTCGCCGAGTGTTGCTATCGTCGCAAGATCAATACCAGAACGAGCATGTAACGGTAACCATAGCAGGAGTCATAGCAATACGACAACTAAGCCAAGCATGATCAAGTTCAAGGCAAATGGACGTCTTGAGCCCCAAGCCCTAAACCCTAACCCCTGAACCCCCAGACTGCTCTCCCTTGAGAGTGCTTTTCTGCGTGAGGAAGGCATGGTCCTTGAGTCGGGTGAGAAGCTGCCGTGTGCAGCCTGCCTGCAAGAGCGCTGAGGGTTTAGGGTCTAGGGAGTTGTTTTTTCAGGGTTTAATTAGCGAATGTACCTTCAGCTATAAGGGGGTTCATATTGTGATGTAAGGTGTATTCCTTGGTTAAGGGTAGCACACCTCAACTAAGGAATATACCTTAAGCTATAAGGGGGTTCGTGCTATGTGGCGGTTCCTACAGCTTCTACCGTACACATCTGCTTCCCCCACTTCATATTATGATGTAAGGTGCATTCCTCAGTTAAGGGTAGTACACCTAAATTCAGGAAGACACCTCTCTCATACTTGGATCCAACTCTTGATTTAGGGATATTCAGGGTACAGTTCTTAATACGGGGCTCTCTCTGGAGCAGTCTTCATGTCGTTGTTGTAGCCCTGGAATATGCATAGTCCCGATGGCTCCTCTACTCCCACGCGTGCTAAGCCCTACCTGGACCCTGAAAAGCCTGCCTTTTCAAGAAATTATAACAGTAAGGGACTTTTATCAAGGAGCCCTAAACAGGTAGGTTCTTTGGGGTCCAGGTAACCCCTAGCATCTCAAGACGTCGTCCGGGACTGCCGAGGATGTCGTGGTTTATGCAACCGGTTACGAGACCGGTTTCGACGACATCCGGACAGTCAAAGATGGCGAAGAGGCGCGGAAGCACCGAATAGGATTTAGGGTTTAGGGTGCAGGGCTTAGGATTTTGGGGTTTAGGGTTCAGACAGTTCAAGAGACGATGCTGCAAGTAACTGTCCTGACTCAGGTTGTTTCTGGCTGTCATTCGTTTTCTGGATGCTAGACTATTCATACAAATAAATCTCCAAGAACCGCCAGCAAGCCAAACCGGAAGTGGCCGGTAGGCACAAGCTGTTCTCGTCGTAGCCTTACTGACGGAGGCGCGGAATTTAGGATGTCGCATTGCAAACGGAGTTATACAGAAGTCACACCATATGCGAAACCGTGGTATGGAGCATATAAGCATCAAGGGGCTCCATGAAAGCCAGCAGAGTAGATCACCAAACTTCATCATGATCACAATTACGAACTCCGCATGTACTCTCAGTCAGCTTAGCGACCCAGGCGATCTGGGACATCTGTTTCAGATTTGCTTCGCTTGGGCAATGCTTTAGAATCTCGAACAACCCAGAGAGCCCAATACCCCTTAATTAAGGAATATAGCTTAAACCATATAGGGCTTCATATTATGGTTTAAGCTATATTCCTTAATTAAGGGGTATTGGGATCTCTGGGAAATCCCACCCCCCGATCAATACATGCTGTCACTAAGGCCTTACATATCAGAATGAATATATGACTCCCGTTTAAGGCCGGCGGGTTTATCATTAGTGGTGTGCATTATACATAGGCTTGTGCAATCCCGCACAGATTTGGCTTTGTACAGGGCCTCCTGATCAGGGCATGGTGTTGCCCAGAGAGCCCAATACCCCTTAATTAAGGAATATGGTTCAAATTGTATAGGGCTTCATATTATGATTTAAGCTATATTCCTGAATGAAGGGGTATTGGGCTCTCTGGGTGCCTGGATCAAGCTTTATAAGGGTTCGAGAATTGGTGGCTGACCCTCCAAATCCCTTGCGCCATATCCAGCCGCCGACGCCTGTAAGAAAGGGTCATTTCGTAGGGCTTGCTGTTACAGGCTAGTCCTAAATCATTTACTGAAGGTTGACGTGCGCGATGACCCGCTTTACCATCACACGGTGTCGGAGCTCGATTATCGGCTTGTAAAGGTTGGAGTTGGTTTCGGGTCTGCCGTTGGTGGCTCCGATGTTCAAAGATGAGGAACAGCTTGGCATGTGTTTAGTGTGTTTGGTAGCATCTCTTCGAGTAACTCCGGAGATTCCGCAGGTGGTAGCGGGGTGGGGTGGGGGGGGTGATGATGTATTTTTTCAGCGCATGCTTTTCACTGTGTATTCACAGCATTTTCGTGATGTTGTAGTCCAATACCAGCGATGATGTTGATGGGTTTAGTCGCTCGTACTCCACTGGCTGTCCAAGCAAATAAGTGTGAGATCGTCGTCCACGCAAAGTTTGCCCCAGAAAAACCGACCCATCCTGAATCCCCCACTGAGGCCGACATAAAAGCCCGGAAGGCCGCGAAGCCCCGAAGCCCGAACGCGAGGGCCGCAAATCCCCAAGAAACCTTTATATGTCTCAGGGTCGAACATGTTCCGAGCAATGACGGTCAAGCTCCCAGACCTTATGATGAGGCCTCGCGCAATTTTGTTGGCGGCTAAACCCTCGGTTATGCAAGGCCCCGCAAACCCTTGAGACCGCTGCAAACCTGCAAGGCTTGAAGCCCCAATCCCTAAACCCCCACAGTACTTTACAGTATTGCAGACACACGTTAACGGCCGTAAAACCCAAACAGAAACGCTTAAGGCCAAATCCGGCAAAACTCCCTAGAATCCAACCACAAACCCATAAAGCTCGTGGTCCTAAACCATAAACCCTAAACAGCCTTAGAAGGAACAACCATGTAAAGCGCCCGAAACCTTATAGGTCCTAGGAAAGGCCCTGAGTGCCCAAGGTCCAACCCCGAAACGAGAAATGCCGTGCCTTTAGGTTACATACCTCGTCCTGTGACCGTTCACAGAACCCCTTAAGCCCAAATGCAGCATACCCTGAACAATCCTAATCCGCTAAAACGGTGGAAGATTCTACAAGCAGCTGTAAAACCATAATATGAACCCTGCCGGTGTTGCCTGTGTACCCCTGGGCTTATTTGCAGGGTTGAACCCAAAGCTCTACGCCCCACATCCCTAAGCCGAAAACGTAAACCCTTGAACCCCAGACCCCAAAAGCTGGACCCTCCATCCTAAAAGCCCTAAGCCCCTTGAAAGAAGACTCTTCGCCGACTGGGTTTTTGCCAGGGGATGTAATTTAAGTTACCATAATGAGGAAAGCACATGATTTGGTATAGGTCCCTATTATGGTAACTTAAATCACTAAATCCCTTAAACCCTAAACCCTTATAGGTCCCTTAAAGGAACTCTTTATAGATCCCTACTATGGAAACTTAACTTAAACCCCTTAACAAGACGCCCTAAGCCCCTCATAATAGCCGTTATGTTAACCCTTAAGGATCCCTTTAAACAAACCCTATTCTATTTTTGAAGGCTCCTATATGAAGCCCCTTGAAAGCAGACTCTTCGCCCAGGTCGCCCTAAACCCTAAACCCTAAACCCTAAACCCAAAACCCAAAACCCTAAACCCTAAACCCTAAACCCTTAACAAGACGCCCTAAGCCGAGGTCGCCCCGCGGTTTCCTAGCCTCCTGGTCGCCCCCACGGCCTACACGAACTTCGGACCGATCCGAGGCGATCCTCTTCGAGGGTCTAAGGGGATTTAGGGTTTTAGAGGTTTTAGGGTTTAAGGGGGTTAAGAGGTTTTAGGGGTTTAAAGGGTTTTAGAGTTTAAAGGGTTTTAGGGTTTTAAGGGGTTTTAGAGGTTTTAGGGTGTAAGGGGTTTTAGGGTTTAAGGGGTTTATGGGGTTTTAGGGGTTTAGGGTTGTGGGGGTTTTAGGGTTTTAGGGTTTACAGGGTTTAGGGTTTAAGAGGTTTTAGGGTTTCAGGGGTTTAGGGTTTTGGGGTTTTAGGGTTTTAGGGTTTAAAGGGTTTTAGGGTTTAAGAGGTTTTAGGGTTTTAGGGGTTTTAGGTTTTTAGGGTTTTTCAGGGTTTATGCGTTTAGGGTTTTATGGTTGGTTCGAGGCGATCCTGTTCATCTATGCGCAGGGGATCCTTCGAGGGATCTATAACGGATTCGATGTAGGTTCCTTTCTGAGGTCCTTTAAGGAATCGTATAGGGTTCCTTTAAGGGGTCCTTTAGAGGGTTCCTTGAGGGTTCGCCTAAAGGGTCTCTTCAGGCGTTCGTTCTCGGTTTCATATTGGTCCCTATATGGGGCTTCTGTAATTGGAACATGGTTCTGGGGTATCTTGTAGTACAACAATAAGCGGAAAACCGGAAGAGTAGTTTAGTAGTTTACTACTGTTAATGGACAAAATCCTGCATGACCTTACGGACCCGAAACTATGGGAACTATAGCCATTATATACCCATTATATAGCCCATTATAGGGTAAGGGTCCCCATTAAGGGTCCCTCCTTTACCCTTTGATTTAAGGCATATTCCTTATAACGGGTAATGCAGGATTTTGTCCACCAGCAGTAGTTTTTCAGGGTTTTAGAACATCGGGCTTCGGCCTCAGGATGTACCCAGAGAGCCCAATACCCCTTAATTCAGGAATATAGCTTAAATCATAATGTGAAGCCCTATATAATTTAAGCCATATTCCTTAATTAAGCGGTATTGGGCTCTCTGGGTAGGGTCGAGGTTTATAGGCTAAGTGTAGGAGTAGGGGTGCGGTGGATTTGGGTTTTCGAGTTTAGGCTTAGGGTTTCATGTTTAAGCTTGAACTTTGGTTTATGGTTCGGGCTTGTTTTACAGAACTTAGGTTTAGGGTTCTTGGTTAGGTTCTTCAATTCTTGGAACGATGGTTAGGCATTTATGATTTGGATTAAAGGGTTGATTTGCTTTCGGAGCATTGGTGCTTGCAGTTACTGAGAGTTTTGCTCAGGTCGAAGGGGGTTTATGGGGATGTAGACGGGCTTTACATAGGGGTATATCAGGGTTGTAGACCCCAAGGCTTAAGTATCTACCATAAGTGTACATGGGGCCTTGGCGAGGAGGATACAAGGGTTTACCCTAAACCTAAACCCTAAACCGTTTATAGTGTCTTCTAGCTTGGGCTTCTTGAGTCGGGTTTCAGGGTTTCGGGTTTGGGGTGCATGGGTTCATAAGGCAGGGGTATCAGAGGGTCCTAGGCTGGCTGTATAGCTAATCCATGAAACCCTCAACCCTAAGCCTTAGACCCGAAACCCCCCTAAACCCTAAACCATTAAACCCCTAAGCCCTAAAACCCCTAAAAATCCTTGAGCCCAAAAGCCCTCTCTAAACCACTCTGGGGCCACTCAGTTGTGGGTGTTGGGGTCTCAGGGTCTGGGTTTGAGGACTTGGAGGCGGTCTTTCCGCCTAAACCCCAGCCTTGCCACCCGAAACCCGCAACCCGAGGCCCAAACCCGAACACAGGGTTTAGGGTTTAAGGTTTAGGGTTGAACAACAAGGTTTAGAGTGTAAGGTGTAGGGTTTAAGGTTTAAGGCTTAGGGTTTAAGGTTTAGGGTTGAATAACAAGGATTAGAGTGTAGGGTGTAGGGTTGAAGGTTTAGGGTTTAGGGGTTTAGGGTTCAGGCACCCTGAGTCCAACTCCTTGCGAGGTGTTACGATGGCGCAGTACATCACGTACTACCTTGCGGCGAAACCCAGCAGCTGGGTCGGGTTCAGCCAGGGTCCGTTAAGGATAAGCTTCGTACTATGCAGGTTGGATCTCAGAATTTGTTGTGGAGGCGAAAACTCGGTGGATCGTTCTTGAAGTTTGCAACTGGGCCAAACCCTCGGAAAATACCGAACGTCGCCAGTGTAGTTCATTTTTGGGTTAAACCAATTTTAGAGTTAGGATCCTCTAAGGTACTCCCTCAAAAAAGAACTACAATGGAGACCATAGGTAGAACCTTGCTGCAAGCCTAGACGCCCTAAGCTCCCCTGGCAAAAGAGCCCGAGACCCGAAGAAGTAAATCCGAGCCCTAATGCATGAATGCAAATGCACCCTGAGACCTAACATATGAACAATCCTTCCGAATCTACCCCAAATTATAATACCGTAGCGGTACTTGGAGGTTCATGGGTAGTTATAAGTGGGTTTGTAAGTAGGGTAACTCTAGTTATAAGCCCTATTAGGGGACTTATAAATACACTTGTAACTACCCATGAACCTCCAAGTAGTTGAGCATATTTTGGGTCTGCTTGCGCGGGCAACATGCTGGCGATACGTGGGAGACAGTGGGTGCGCACCCAACGCATACAACCGGTGCACACACGCGCACACACACGCACGTGCGCCTAAATCTTGGCCAAAAAACTTTCAACCCCAAACCACAAGGCTTAAATCCCCGCGCCACAAAAACCTGAACCCTAAAGTCCTTCAAGCCCAGATGCTAAGCCCAAACGCAAGAAGCCCTGAACCCCAAAGCCTCAACTGTGTTCTTGTTGAAGGCTTTCATTTAAGTCCATAAAAACGAAGCCATGTTTTTTACTATAGATCCCTATCATGGTAACTTAAACTAAGTTCCTTAACCCCTAGACCCTTATAGATCCCTTATAGATCCCCATTATGCTAAGTCAAATTATATTCCCTAACAGAGAGCCCAGTCAACTGCTGCCGGAGTCGCCTCTAACTGTGCTCCGAGGCGAAGCGGAGATGTTGAGAGTCGCCAGGAAGAACTGGTGCAAACAGAGGCCAAAGCAGTCCCCCGGACCCAAAGAGGTTGCGGTTTAGGGTTCAGGGTTTAGGGTTCAGGGTTTAGGGTTCAGGGTTTAGGGTTTAAGGTTTAGGGTTTAGGGTTTAGGGTTTCAGGTTAGGGTTTAGGGTTCAGGTGCAAACAGAGGCCAAAGCAGTCCCCCCGACACAAAGAAGTTGATGGGTACGGCTGAAAAGCTAAGGTGACAGAGCGTTTCTATATGGTTTTGTATGATCTGTATGACGAGTTTGTTCATGCTTTGTAAAGGGTGGTGCAAGGTTTTATGAGGGTTTCAACGGAATTCCATAAAGTTTCCGATATTTGTATGATTCGTATAAGGATTGTGCATCTGTTTTAGAAGGAGTTTCTCGAAGTCTCACCATGGGTTTACGGTTGTCGACAAAACCTGAGGCCTAAACCGCTGAAGCAAAGCCGTAGCGCAACGTCTAAGTTTTCAATGTATGTTTTCAATGTCCGTTTAGCAGGGTCGCCCCAAAGAGTACAGCACCATTATACGAAGGACTTGAACGGGACACTAACTTAGAGAACTACTCAACCCTAAACCCTCAAGCCTAAACCCTCAACCCTAAGCCCTAAACCTAAACCCTTAAGGCCCTAAGCCCTACATTATCCCTAACGTGTTTTAAGCCACGAAGCAGAGGATCCACAGCCCCAGCGCCGTTGACTCCCGAAAGACAGCAAGCCCTTCAACCTTCAACCCTCATTCTATATATATATATATATATATATATATATATATATATATATGTATGTGTGTATATATATATATATATATATATATTATAGGGGCTTAAATGGCCCTATAAAGCTTAGAGTAGGGGTCCTGTAAAGGGTTTCTTTTGAAGGGGCCGATAAGAATTACTATAAGGGGTATCATGGGGTTTAGTATAGGGGCCTAAGTAATCACCTACAGCATTTTGGGGGGGGTTCCTTATTCTAATTCAAGTATAATTGGCCCCGAGACCCTGTTCTGATTATTAAGGGTCCTGTGTGGACGCTAAGAAGCCCTGGCTTTTTAAGGGTTCCTCGGTATGTTTAGGGTTTGGGGGTTTAGGGTTCCGTTGTATAGGGTTTGGGGTTTAGGGTTTAGGGTTCAGGCTTTAGGATTTCGTTGTATAAGGCAGGTCATTTGTGGTTCAGGTAAGGCTTTCGACCCTAAAACGTCAACTAAGCTGTCGACCCTGACACCCTAAGATCCTAACACCCCACACCCTCTATGCCTTCACCGCCCAAGTGCTCAAGTGAGCGGGCCGAGGTTTCTGCTTTTCGGCGGCCAGGTCAGCTTGGGGGAAACTGGAAGGCTAAAGTGTCTTATGGCAAAGGTCTGACAAGTGCGAAGCGCATCCTCCTCTAGTCCCGACTATACTTTGGTAACAGTATAAGCGGCCCGCCCAAACCCTGTTACAACTATGAAAGTCCCTATGATAGGCTTTAGAGATGCATGTAGAGATTTTGGATGGGTTTCAGAGTTTGCAGGCTTACAGTCTGAGTGGTTCGTGGTTTTCGTATGCCATTCCGCTCTGAAATTAAGGGCTTCGGGCTTGCTGGCCTCAGTGCCTCCAGGCTCGGCGGGTAGGATTTCAGTGTTCGGGGTTTCAGCATGGAGTCTTGGCAGGTAGGGTTTAGCATCTAGGACCTAGAGTAGGCCCTTATTCCCTTTTTTAGGGCTCAGGTTCCCTTATAAGCCCCTTTAAACCAAAAAAAGGAACCTTCTTCTTCCTAGGTTACTTTTGGGTTTAGCATGGTGGCTCTAGCTCCAAAGTTCAGGCTTTAGGGCTTTGGGGTTCAGGGTTCAGGGTTTAGGGTTTAGGGTTTAGGGTTTAGGGTTGAATGCAAGGTGTTTGTTCTTCAGCGTTTGGGGCTTGTGCTTGTAGGTTTGGGGCTCGGGTCGAAAGTTAGGGTTTTGTATTGTGCAGGGATGTCACTGTTTGTTTGGAGCTGGTTCATACCGGCTTTTTGGGATCATGGTATTGGAGCTTCTTGTGTTCCATGAACCCTTACCCGCATCAGCTTCACTACTGTGTCAATGTATTTTCATGTTGCCAATTTCAGCCCCAAACTTCGATTCCCAGACCCAAAGGGTTTAGGGTTTAGGGCTTAGGCTTTAGGGTTTAGGGTAGCTCGAAGCAGGTCTTCATGAGAGAGTACCTCTACATGTTCCTGGACTTCGTGCGCGGGGGTATTTTGCGGCTTGGTTGCACCTGCATCACTTCGACTGACTGGGCATTTTCGTTTGATATGGGTGTTAGCAATACTCTTGCCTTCTGCCCGTAATTAAAAATCCTTGCGAGAAGTCTGAGTCTGTACCGTAGATTAGAATGGTATGCTTGACCGTGTCCAACCACTCCGAGACCTTCGTTTTTTCCGAAGGGTTTTTGTGGGTGTAGGCTTTGCCTTTTTGACAGGGCCTTATATGAGGTTTCTACACGGGCCTTGGGGTCTAGGGTTGGTGCAATCTTCATGGGCTTGAGTGCATCTAGATTGTTGTGGGCTTTGGGTTGTGTTTCTTGTTTCAGGGCTGTACGATCCTCATACACCCTGAAGACATAGATCCCAGCACCTTTCATTTGGGCGAACCCCTCTATACTGAGGATACGTGTTTTGTTCGTTCTTCTGTTTTACGAGAAAGCGCATCCCGGAGAATCTGAAGCAACCCGGACAGAGGCCTACATTCGAAACGCTACAGCTCTGAATGTCCAGCTGCTTTTCAGAAAGCCTGTAGTTTCAACCCAAAGGAGATCCAAAACCTCAAAGTTGGCACCCTGAACGCCTACAGTCCCGAAGCCTCCTAGCCCGATGACCTATGCCCTTGACTCAGTACCCCAAACCCGAAACCCGATAGCCTAAACCTTAACTGAAACTCTGACCAGAGCCCCGTAATGCAAACCGATAGCCCGATATCCTAAACCCTACACCCTGAACCCTTAAGCCATAAACCTTGGCTTGGGAATTGCCCCCACTCTGCAGCACGTGGATCATATTTATATAGCTATATCTAGTCTAGCCCTTAGCATAGACTGTTACAGGGTGAGGGCAATGCACAATAGAATATAAGCCCTAGCAAAGCCTTGCTGGCTAGTGTGCTTCGCGCAAGTTCCAGGGGGATCGTCGCCAGAAACATATCGCGTCTTGTTGAATGCAGAGTGAAAGCACTCCGGACGCTGACTGCGAACGTACAGAGTCCCGCCGCTGTATGAGACGTACGCGCCCGATGCCCTCGAAACCTTGCATCTGCGCCTCGGTGAACTCTTGATAATGAACCCGGAGCTTGCGAACGTGCCAGATGTCGGCGAGTTTAGCGTGGGCATCTCTTGTCCAAGCATCAACTCACGACATGCCTGGTATTTCCCAAGCATTTGCCGTGCAGTCGGTGCCCTTTGCAGGTCACTTCCAGCACAAAGCTGCGAATCTGCCACATTTCTGTAGTGTCACTGACAACGCCGTGGAACCAACGCAATTGCTCTATCAATTGAAAGCTCCGAAACATTCCCCGGCGCGCAGAATGTAAACTCAACTCCAAGCAAACGGCCCAGAAACCCGATCTCTGCCAGGTCAACCCTGATCTCTTGGCCTAATTAAGCCCCTTAGCCCGATAACCCATATGGCGCATGTGTACACTACATATTTCCATAGGCTAGGTAGGGCTTTGGGGCATTTTCTATTTTCCCTTATTGGGCTTAAGAGTATCTTATTCACTAATATTTTTCAAAGGCTTTAAAAGCCCCACCTAGTAGGCCTTTCCCCACCCTGAACCTTCAGCCCGGAACCTGAAACCCTGTGCGTCTCGAGGCCTTTTTCCTGGCTGCTGAAAGGCCGCCACAGCTTCTGCAGGTTTAATTTGGTTCAGGGCTTACGGTGTAGGGTCTAGGGTAGGTGTGCAGGGGCCCTGTCTTGAAGTTGGTTCATAAGTTCAGAGATGAGTAGGACGAGAAAGGGTTGTTCGGCACTTTATCGGGTGGTGGGAAGTTGGGCTGTCGTTGGACCCTAGGATTCCGATGTTGCCTGTTTTGGGTTTGACAGGGGATGAAGGGTTTATGGTTGGGGGTTTGGACTTCTCTAGGTTTTCGGGATGTAGAGTGTAATTGGTTTGAGTTCTACCCTAAACCCTAAACCCTAAACCCTGTCCAGCGGTGAGCTTCCGAGGTTGGTTCCTCAGCATGTTTGGGTCGCAGAACCTTCAGCCCGAAACCTTACCGCAGTCCGACCTGAACCCCAAATAACCTGCCTTTAAAGACATATATAGTTTATAACAAGGAAAGCACGTCACGGAACCCTAAAACGGTGGGGTTCTTAGGGTCCAGGTATAGGCTGCATCTATCAGGTGCAGAGACAGTACCTTACTGCAGAGGTGTCTCACGACAGCGGCATCTAAACCTCAAGGATCCGCTTACACACGATCCTCTCAAACGTTCTACAGCGACGCATAACCCTGACACCCCACTACGCCCCCAAATGCAAGAAGAGATCTAAGCACGCAGACAGGCTTTAACAGTTTAGGGTTTAGGGTTTAGAGTTTAGGGTCTAGGGTTTAGGGTTTAGGGTAAGCCACAAGCCCGCACAGCTCCAAAGCCTGCAGCAATCTGGGACCTCTTCATCAACAACCTCTACCGCCCTTTGCCACTTTCTGTCGGCGTGTCGCGAGGCCGCACACAGAGCCTTGGGATTCGGGCTTAGGACATCCGGGATCTGCTGTTCAGGGTTTGGGGTTTAGGTCTTCGGGGTTTGGGCATTTGAGGTGCAGGTTTGGGGCGTGGCGTGCATGTAGGTTATCTTCAAGGCATTCAGGAGTGAGTAGCCAAAAGGTCGCTGGTAGTGCTGCTGTAACCCCCCCAGAGCCTCCAAAACCCCTTAATTAGGGAATATACCTTAAATCATATAAGGGATCCTATTATAATTTAAGGTATATTCCTTAGCAGTAAGCTCAAAATTCGAACACAAAAACTTCCAGCAGCCTTGAACCGGATACCGCACATTATTTGCTTCAAAAAGGCAAAGGCTCGTGTGCCGGCCAAGTGAAGACTATCAACCTTACGCATTGAGGCTAAACCCTCAACCTTAACCCTAAGCCCTGCACCCTGAACCCCAAACCCCAAACACCTTAGACCCCAAAACCTTAACCCAAAACCCGAAAAAACCCAAAGAAACCTCCCACTGGCACCGTCAAGCGGGAATCCTAAGGCTCTGGAAGAAACTTACCGGAATCCCAAACTGGGCTTTGGAGCTACGGCTTAGGGTTTAGGGTTTAGGGTTTGGGCTTTAGAGCACCACGCATTCATACTTTTTCTTACAGGAGCCATTATGAAACAATAGCTTATACAGATACATTTTTCTCCTTAGTGACTTAGAAAAGCCACCTTGAGTTTACGTCTAAGGTTTAGGGCCTGCAGTAGGGCATCCTCTCTCTCCAAGGCCGTTTGCACCGCAACTGGCACGTAGGACCGTGTGGGTAGCTTTTTGAATTAAGGTCCCTGTGGGGGTCCTCTTTATAAGTTATAAGGGTGCCGTGCTGTATTGGGGACCTAAAAAAGGGACTGATTTAGAGAACTACCCATGTATAAGTTTGTGAGGGCTGTAGGGTTTCGGGTTCAGGATTTACAGGGACGCCGAACCCAGAGCTGTAAACCCTTACCGCTCCAAAGCACCTGCACAACCCCTATACTTGCCTTTGGTTAGTAGGGAATGGAGGAATGGGGTACAATTAGAACTACTACTACTACCATTTTTCCATTCCCTACTAACCGAAGGTAAGTATATTACTCTATCCCAGCATCTTTGAACTTACCTCCACTCCCTCCAAGGCAGCAGCAATGGCTCGGCGGTGCTCCGTACAGCTGAGGCGTCCACAGGAAAGCCATCCAGACCCTAAGCCCAAACCCAACCTAACCCTAAACCTCCTCATACCAGACAGTACAAATCCTGCACCCCCCCCCCCCCGTGTGTGAACAAGACTGGGTCTATTTAGAAGCTGCTTTACTGTGTTTCCAATAGGGTTACATGTCTTAAACCGTAATTAAAATCAACAAGCAACGCTTCTAAATAGACCCACTTGCCGGTCATCAAGCCAATATTTGAATAGTTTAAATCGTCTAAATCCCCGGCCGCTTAAATTATTTAAATTGTTTAACTTAAATGGAATGTCGCTACTTCGTTAACCAAGAATTAGTTAAATTTGAATATTCCAAAGGACCGGCCATTTAAATTGACGGTTTAAATTATTTCAATTGTTGCTTAACGAAAGAACTTAGATAATCTAATTACTTAAGTATAATTTAAATGATCCCGGTCAAGCCGGAGCAGTCCACAGCAGCGCGCCACCAAAAGAAGAATTTTAGATAATTTAATTATGTCAAATCCCCGGCCGTTTAATTTGGTTAAATGAAATGGATTGTCGCGGCACCCGGCCACCCGGCGATTTAACTTATTTAAATGGTGTAAATTATGAAACTATTTAAATCACATCGTTAGCCCACAGTTTACATAATTTCAAAAACCAAGGACCGGCCATGAAAATTATTTGCAATATTTTAATTGTTGCTTGACGACAGAATTTAAGTAATCTAAATAACCTAATTAAATTTTGTATAATTTAGATACTCCCGGTCAAGCCGGAGCAGTCCACAGCAGCGCGCCACCACAACAAGAATTCAAATAGTTCAAATATTTTAAATCCCCTGCCGTTTAAATTAGTTAAATGAAATGGATTGTCGCGGCACCGCTCTAGTTTCAAAACTTCGTGATTGTGGTAGCTTCCGGAATTACGGGATGGGAAATCAGGATTACAGCGGGAAGCGTAAAACCTTAGACGAACAATAGCTGTGCGAGACGTTGGCTAGCAACTGCTGTCTGCATGTGTGGCCGATGTGTGATAGCACGGGCAGCTCAAGTTGAAATAGTAGCGGGAGTAGTAGTCGCCGAGTAGCAGCCATGCCACAAAGTCCGTCAACGCGACGCAAAAGGCGAGCAGAAGCTGCTGAGCGAGCGGGGAAGAAGTTTAGAGAGAGAGGACCTCAGTCGTGCGCTGCGCGAGAAGCTAAAGCAGTGTCAGCAAGTACAGTAGCGGCAGTGCCTATTACTTCGGCTCCGGTCGTGGCGGCGAAAGCTAAAGCAGTGTCGACAAGTACTTCAGCAACATCAGCTGCTACTCCGGGTGTAGCGGCGAAAGCTAAAACAGCGTCGACAAGTACCGCAGCGACACGACCTACTACTTGGACGGAACTAAGTTATCCATTGCAGAAAGCTTTCTCGCAGGGGCAGTGGGCGCAGGGCCAGTGGGCCGAGCAGTGGGACCAGGCAGAGGCATCTGTCTCATGAACCTACTACTACATTGCGGAAAGCATTCTCGCAGAAGACCACGGCCGACACTTGCGAGATGGAGGAGGCAGGTGTCTCTGGAACTAACTAATCCATTGCAGAAAGCATTCTCGCAGGGGCAGTGGGCCGAGCAGTCGCACTAGGCAGAGACGTCCGTCTCCTGAACCTATGTATTAATCCATTGCAGAAAGCATTCTCGCAGGGACAGTGGGCCGAGCAGTCGCACCAGGAAAAGGCATCTGTCTCATGAACAACTAATCCATTGCAGCAAGTATTCTCGCAGAAGGCCACGGCCGAGACCTGCGAGATGGAGGAGGCATGTGCCTCACAAATTGACGAATCAATTGAAGGAGTTTCCATAGTTGACGTTGCTAGGACGAGACAGGCGACAGCGGCGAAGCCTGGGCCGCAGCGTCCGTTGGAGCAAAGCAACCAGAAGAAAAACCTAGCACCAATCAGGTAGCTCGCGAGCCAGCGGGGCATCCAGCCCGATGCTTACGACATGAAGTCCTCCAAAAGTGGAAAGTAACATGAGCTTCATCTGAGGTAGCGGGAGAGCTGATCGTTCGCTTGCTGTCCTGAGCGTGGCTGCAAGCAGAGAGCACTGGCACCAGCAGCAGCACCAGCACGAGCACCAGCGCGAGCACCAGCCTCAGCACCAGCACCAGCCTCAGCACCAGCACTAGCACTAACACCAGCATCAACAGCAGTGCCAGCACTAGCACTAGTGCCAGGTGCACTGAGGGAGTGGTTTTCAACGCGACAGCACTGAAGGAGTGCGTTTGAAAAGGTGAGCTGGTTGGATTACCACCGCCATCAACCACAACCTACACAATCCCAAGCCTCAAATCTCTGACACTGGCACCCTAAAACCCCGAAGCCTCAGCTTCTAAATAAATAGACCCGGTTTTGCTCAGCCACCCCCCCCGACTTCCCGGAATGTCCCTAAACCAAAGTATGCCAAAGTCCCATCACTCAGACCCCATACCACAAGTCCTTCGAGCCTCCCAGACCTCGGGGCCCGAGCCCGGAACCCCTTATAACTTCAGGGTTTAGGGCTTGGGGTTCAGGGACGTACAACACTTTTGTGCACTACATGGTTAGTTCTCAAACTTGGGTCCCCTGCTCGGTCCCCAAAATAGTAAGCGGAGCTTATAAAAAGGACCTACAAAAGGATCCTAATTTAAAGAACTACCCACATCCGTCTCCAGAACTTGCTGCCTCAAACGCTGAAGCGTAAGCCTACTTAAGACCCCCATAACCTTCTCTTCGACAGTGATTACCTTCTCGTAGGAACCATCTACTCTTGTTTGAAGGTTCAAGTGAGGGTCCTGGAAGCTTCAGTCAATATTTTATGCTTCAAAAGCCCCTAAACCCCAAAACTAAGCCACTAACCTCCTAAGCCCCTCAACCCTAAACCCCAAACCCCTGAAAAGCCTCAGTCATTGTAGACTTGAGCTTTCGCGGAGCAGGGGCCGAAGAAAGCCCTGAGCCGCATCGTTTGGCTTGCCGTCTTCGAGGGTCGGTGGCGTTAAAACGGCGGGTTTAGGGTTTAGGGCTTACAGTAGGGGGGTTAGGAGCTAGGGTTTAGGGGTTTAGGGGTTTAGGGCTTCGGGTTGCAAGGTTCTACAGAGCGGGCACAAATTCTTTACATGCTTCTATCAGTGTCCTGATGGGTTCAGGATGGCAGTGTTGGGGTTTTGGTGTCGTGCGTCCCCCTACTTGGAGGGTCGGGGGACTTAGTAAGTAGGTCGTAAGTAGACTTATAAGTACCCTAAAAGGGACCCTAATTGGGGTTATGGTACTTATAAGTCCCTAAAATGACCAGTTACTAAGTCCCCCGACCCTCCAAGTAAGCTGTAGACCCTATACTCTAACTTCTAAGCTCCTAACCCGACCGTAAACCCTAAGCCCTAAACGCTGAACCCTAAACCTCAACCCTAAACCCCTAAACCCCTAAGCCTAAACCCTAAACCCCCAAACCTTAAGCCCCTAAACCCTAAACCCCTAAGCTCCTAAACCCCAAACCCTAAACCCTAAACTTTCGCATAAATTCCCCGACTTTCAACCAGAACTCTGGGCTTTTTTAGTTCCTGACTTTAGCCCCAAGATCCTGGCGATGCTTCAATGCTTCCCTAGCTATTGAAACTATCTTAGTAGCTGTGTAGGTAACCTTCCTAGGGTTTGGGGTACTATAAAGGGTTCCTTTAAGGAGTCTATAGGGATTTGTGTTCTATACGGGGCGTGTAGTAGCTGAGTAGGTAACCTTTAACCCTTTGTGGGGTTTATGCAATCGTACCATGATTGAAAAGGTTAACCTTTTTTGGCGCTAGGGTACTTAGCCCCTGAGCTATTGTTCTTGAGGGTGTGGAGTTAATAGTGAAGCTGTAAGAAAATGACTGGGATGTTGAGGTATACAACAATGTGATGAATGCCAAAAAGCACATAGAAACGAGCGCCAGTTCTACCCGGCCAAAGCCGTGTAGGCCCAAAGGAAGCACCCTAAACCCTGAACCCTAAAGCCTAAACCTTATACCCCAAACTCTAAGAGCTTGAATACACTGTAGGGATGCAGGCTTTCGAACCCTCCGCCCATCCAGCAAAAGCCGCTAAGGTGCGCCCGATCCGCCGTGTGCGGAGCTCCCGCAGTCCTCCTGGAGGACTTCGCAGGGCCCAAAAAGGCACGTAAGCAAAAGTCAGGCTAGGGATACCTCCTTATAGCGAAGCCCAATAAGGTAGGAATATCCCTATAAAGTGCTTATGCTGATGTCCTTTTTGGGGTCCCTAACTTCGGGCTTTTTGAAATCCTGAACCCTGTGATTCAGGCGTTCGAAAATGTCAGGATCTTGGGCCTTTAGGTTGGTTGTAGATTCCCCCAGTCCCAGGCCACAACGCCAGCGGTTTGTGGCTTAACACAGCGGGGCGTGCAAAATGCGAAGTTCCCAACCCCAGCAACCCCCAAGGACGTAAATCTTGATAGTTTAAAGCTGCTCACAACTCAGACAATACAGACACCAAGCTTCCTAAAAGCCCTTGTGGAAGGATCCCGCGGGTGCTTCACCAGACCTGGAAAACTGACAAGGCCTCCCGTTTAAAGGGTTTCGGAGCTTTGGGTTTTGGGGGGTGGGTTCTGAGGTGAGGGTCGACTTTGTCGAGTCCGGGTAGTTCTCATAACTAGGGTTCCTGTCTGCGTCCCCAAAATGTTACGGCACCCTTTATAAGAAGGAGCCTGAAGGGGGCCCCATTTTAGATAACTGCCCTTGCAGAGATGTTTGAAGGCCTCTGTCGCTGTTTACAGAGGTCAGACACGGCTTCCTTTTTCAAAGGGGTGTCGTACTGGTGTATTGTTAGGGCAGGGTTTGAGGGGTCGGATGTCGGGTTAGGGGCAGGGCTGGTAAAGATTTTGGCAGGGTTTGACGTTGTCGTTTTCCGCTCAGCGGATTGTTTGAGGATTGCAGGGCCAGTTTTGATAGTTTCGCAGCACTTAAGGTTGGGTTTGTGGGTTTATGATGTCAACTATAAAG